TTTTAGGGGAAAATTCACAATTATGAAAGATATTGAAATTTTTGTAAGCGTAACATTTTTTTGAGACACACTGTAGTATCAGCCAATAAAATCTTCACCAAATCTGTCAACTGGTATTCAAGTTATCCCAACAGATGTCATTAAATATTAGGGGTATTAGAAGTCTCTTAAATGAAATACATGTAGATATAAAAATAAAACTTTGAGAACTCTGACCATATTAAGTTTCAACAATAATCAACATCACATACTCTCTTCATCTTATAATATATTTTATTGTACATTAAATGTGTTACAAAGAGCACAGGATCTTTAATTTTCTTATATAACTAACTGTACATGGAAAAATAAAATATGAAATTTTCTCTGATAAATATCTGTGTACAGATTGGACTGTCAACTATATCAATCAACCTTAAATAATCCCAAAAAAAGAAAATTGTTGAAACATTTTTTTTCAAAATTATCAAACACATTTTAAACAATTATTTCCCATTATTTCATTTTTCTTGAATTCATAACAGGATCTATGCCACGATTTAAGATTTGAACCAGTTTATTGGCTAGTTGAGATCGCATTTTAATACCGTTTCAACAACTGCGACTCATCAAAATTGATTGATATATATTACAGCACAAGTTTCAAAGATGCTGTACATTAACTCGGATACAATGAGATTTTTCTATGCGACTACACTCATACATTAATTTACAGGTTTATGAAGAAAGCTAGCTAACTGAGACTTTGTACATGATAATAATAATACCTATGTGGAAATGTTCACTTTTTGATCAAGGAGGATTGGCTCCCAGAGTGCAATATCGATATTCTGTCCCATAAATGGACATGTCGTAATAGAAAAAATTCGAATTCAAACAGCTGCAATTTTGTTCACTTCAACATTTGAATCGTGAATTTAGGGTCTCTTTCCTAACAAAAAATTCCAAAACTCAAGAAATGATCGAGATATTGGTTTGAATCTTTTGGACTGTTTATTTTGAATTTATAGTCAGTTATACAGAAAATAACGGCATTTCAATATTTTAATTGTTGGAAAATATTGAGTTTCGATCCTGGGAGCCAATCCTCCTTGCTTTTAGATAGTATGTTTCATGTATTTGGTGAGCTAAGCTTCAAATCTTCACTGATTCAAACACAATTGATTGATATTATTAGAGGAGAGAAGTAATCTCATTATCATATTTCATAGCGAGGGAGACAAAATTTCATTAATAACACTTCAAAGATGGAAGTTAAAAGGAATCTGATGAGAATTTGCCTGATTTCTCAGGACAATTCCAAAATGGGAAAATATTTCAAAATGCAGATTTTAGTTGGAATCCCATTATTATTAAAGGCCTGAAGATTAAGTCTCACACTTTACAATTACTAAACTTGCACTTTGTGTACCAACAGTCCTCACGCCTATCCATATCTCAAAAATTGTATTTGCGAGAAGGAGGGGGAGCATGATTTGGAACACAATGTAAGTCTATGACAAGCTTATGAACATTTTTCATAAGAATATATCGCATTTAAATGATTTTTCCTGATTCTACAGTTCAGCAGTGAGTTTTTGTGTATAACCGGTGTACTCAAGGAGATATCTAAGGCCTAATTATATACACATTAACATCATCTAATTGTATAAGAACTAAACGATGCCAAGTATGTTTGAAACTGGCCTAGTATATGGTGTAAAATGTAAATATGTTTATCTGTACAGTACAATGAAATACTAAATCTATAGCTGGTTGTTATATACCATCAGAAAGGACTAATTATAAGCAGGGTCATCAAATTCCTCAGTTTCCTAGTGATGACATCACCATAATTCTTTGATATACATAGATTTATAAAAGTTAAAATATGATTACTTTAATATAACAATGTTTCACTTTCACTTAAACAATATTTCCTCATTTTCTTTTTGATTTACACTACATGATGCCAGCATCTAACTGTCTAATGACTAAATTCTACGCCAGCAGGACACAGACACATATATATGACACATATGCATGACACATATAGCACATGGAGTCACCAATTTACAATATGCCATACACCATGCAATGTGAAGCATTTTGCTAATATAAAATTTGCCCGAAACACAAAATGCGGATATTGCACGTAAAATTTAATTTTGTAGTAAAAATCTTGACAAACACCATAATTGCAATAATTATCCAAACATTTGGTGCCCCCGGCATCGACAGATTTCATACAAGACAATTACAATATATTTATGTACAGTTACAAAACATAGCAGTTTCTGGTAGGAAAAATATCTGAGTTCACAGTAGGCAAACCAGAAACCAAGTTTTATCATTTGGCTACTTTGATCCCATTTTGCTTCACTTATATTTTACATGCATGAACTTGGCAATGGATACAACTTCATACCCACACAAAAATAAGCTGAAAGATTTATGAAATGTTATGAGCAAATTGTTGTCTTTTGACTGTACACACTACTCAGCATGCCATTTCTATATGTGGTGGTTCATAGGAGTCATGACATGCCAAATTAATTTGAAGATTCTACTAAATTCATATCACTGGCTTCCCTAGGTCATTTGAATTCCTTGCAATTTTTAAATCAGCAATAAAGAATAATGGGTTAAATTATCAAATAATGAAAAAGTTGCAAATTATGAGATTTGTTATATAGCTTCGAAATCTTGCTGAAGTGTAGTTTAACTATAGGTTAACAGGCTAGATTCTCATTGAGATAATTTTAAAGAATCTTAAACATTGACTTATTGTTTCAGTGGTCCTATTAAAGTTCATGTGTACACAATCTGAACAACATCCAGTTTCAAACACTTCTGATTATCATCAAGTTTCAAACACAATCTGAACATCATCAAATTCAATGCAAATGCAGTTTTACTTTAATCCAACAGAACGAATATGGTAAATCAATAGACTAAGTGACACATGTCAAGTCAATGGTAAATACGTGTATCTAGCCCAACTAGCACAAGTGCTGCCATCTACCGACTAGTATCAATCCATCTATCCATATACATAGCACCTAATGAGGTCACGACTTCAAGTAAAGCTTTTTCCCTTGTCTATGGTAAAAAATAAGTTAAATAGAAAAGTTAGTTTGACACCATTGGTGATGCCCACCTTGTATGGTATAGGGATAAAAGGAAAGTTCATGATAACACTTACATAAAATAATTTAAGTATCTAATAATGATAATGAACATATTACAATGTTACACAATGTTAGTAAATGATAATTAAATGTCAATTATTGTTAGTGTAATATGTATTTTTTGCTTAATGCTGCAACAATTACACAAGTTCCAAAAAGTGCCACGCCCACTTTTCCCTAAAAGTAGTTGTGTGTGACTATATTTGATAGATATTATTGATTTATTGGAGCATTATATCAACTTTTTAGTGCTTTAGTGTGAATATATACATATTTATACACCTTTTGACAAAGTTGCAGCCACAAAATCCAAACAAATTTGCAAATATTTCACTTTGAGGGCTAAGGGACATATTTTGGAGGAGGTCAAATTGAGAAGATTTTGAGATATAAATACTGTTTCCATGGTAACCATATAAGTTAGAGATTGGACATTTCTGGCACTGACTAACCATGGTATGCTCTTCCTACTATAAAACTATGAATATATGACATGCATTAGTATTCTTTTTATCAGGTGGTATTAAAGTACCCCCAAGGTTTTCTTAGGGTGGGGGTATGAATTGGCCTGAGGGCCGTCTGCCACCCCTACATGAAGTCCAACTACCCAGAAAGTGCCTAGCATAATCATACAGACTGTTTGAAATATGTTGGAATGTGTGACCTTCCATGAAAAATGGAAGTTGCAATTATCAGAGTAGTCCACAGTCTAGTATCAAATTATTCAAGAAAGATTTGTCTTTTGGTGTCCAAAGTATATTTTAGGGGAAAATTCACAATTATGAAAGATATTGAAATTTTTGTAAGCGTAACATTTTTTTGAGACACACTGTAGTATCAGCCAATAAAATCTTCACCAAATCTGTCAACTGGTATTCAAGTTATCCCAACAGATGTCATTAAATATTAGGGGTATTAGAAGTCTCTTAAATGAAATACATGTAGATATAAAAATAAAACTTTGAGAACTCTGACCATATTAAGTTTCAACAATAATCAACATCACATACTCTCTTCATCTTATAATATATTTTATTGTACATTAAATGTGTTACAAAGAGCACAGGATCTTTAATTTTCTTATATAACTAACTGTACATGGAAAAATAAAATATGAAATTTTCTCTGATAAATATCTGTGTACAGATTGGACTGTCAACTATATCAATCAACCTTAAATAATCCCAAAAAAAGAAAATTGTTGAAACATTTTTTTTCAAAATTATCAAACACATTTTAAACAATTATTTCCCATTATTTCATTTTTCTTGAATTCATAACAGGATCTATGCCACGATTTAAGATTTGAACCAGTTTATTGGCTAGTTGAGATCGCATTTTAATACCGTTTCAACAACTGCGACTCATCAAAATTGATTGATATATATTACAGCACAAGTTTCAAAGATGCTGTACATTAACTCGGATACAATGAGATTTTTCTATGCGACTACACTCATACATTAATTTACAGGTTTATGAAGAAAGCTAGCTAACTGAGACTTTGTACATGATAATAATAATACCTATGTGGAAATGTTCACTTTTTGATCAAGGAGGATTGGCTCCCAGAGTGCAATATCGATATTCTGTCCCATAAATGGACATGTCGTAATAGAAAAAATTCGAATTCAAACAGCTGCAATTTTGTTCACTTCAACATTTGAATCGTGAATTTAGGGTCTCTTTCCTAACAAAAAATTCCAAAACTCAAGAAATGATCGAGATATTGGTTTGAATCTTTTGGACTGTTTATTTTGAATTTATAGTCAGTTATACAGAAAATAACGGCATTTCAATATTTTAATTGTTGGAAAATATTGAGTTTCGATCCTGGGAGCCAATCCTCCTTGCTTTTAGATAGTATGTTTCATGTATTTGGTGAGCTAAGCTTCAAATCTTCACTGATTCAAACACAATTGATTGATATTATTAGAGGAGAGAAGTAATCTCATTATCATATTTCATAGCGAGGGAGACAAAATTTCATTAATAACACTTCAAAGATGGAAGTTAAAAGGAATCTGATGAGAATTTGCCTGATTTCTCAGGACAATTCCAAAATGGGAAAATATTTCAAAATGCAGATTTTAGTTGGAATCCCATTATTATTAAAGGCCTGAAGATTAAGTCTCACACTTTACAATTACTAAACTTGCACTTTGTGTACCAACAGTCCTCACGCCTATCCATATCTCAAAAATTGTATTTGCGAGAAGGAGGGGGAGCATGATTTGGAACACAATGTAAGTCTATGACAAGCTTATGAACATTTTTCATAAGAATATATCGCATTTAAATGATTTTTCCTGATTCTACAGTTCAGCAGTGAGTTTTTGTGTATAACCGGTGTACTCAAGGAGATATCTAAGGCCTAATTATATACACATTAACATCATCTAATTGTATAAGAACTAAACGATGCCAAGTATGTTTGAAACTGGCCTAGTATATGGTGTAAAATGTAAATATGTTTATCTGTACAGTACAATGAAATACTAAATCTATAGCTGGTTGTTATATACCATCAGAAAGGACTAATTATAAGCAGGGTCATCAAATTCCTCAGTTTCCTAGTGATGACATCACCATAATTCTTTGATATACATAGATTTATAAAAGTTAAAATATGATTACTTTAATATAACAATGTTTCACTTTCACTTAAACAATATTTCCTCATTTTCTTTTTGATTTACACTACATGATGCCAGCATCTAACTGTCTAATGACTAAATTCTACGCCAGCAGGACACAGACACATATATATGACACATATGCATGACACATATAGCACATGGAGTCACCAATTTACAATATGCCATACACCATGCAATGTGAAGCATTTTGCTAATATAAAATTTGCCCGAAACACAAAATGCGGATATTGCACGTAAAATTTAATTTTGTAGTAAAAATCTTGACAAACACCATAATTGCAATAATTATCCAAACATTTGGTGCCCCCGGCATCGACAGATTTCATACAAGACAATTACAATATATTTATGTACAGTTACAAAACATAGCAGTTTCTGGTAGGAAAAATATCTGAGTTCACAGTAGGCAAACCAGAAACCAAGTTTTATCATTTGGCTACTTTGATCCCATTTTGCTTCACTTATATTTTACATGCATGAACTTGGCAATGGATACAACTTCATACCCACACAAAAATAAGCTGAAAGATTTATGAAATGTTATGAGCAAATTGTTGTCTTTTGACTGTACACACTACTCAGCATGCCATTTCTATATGTGGTGGTTCATAGGAGTCATGACATGCCAAATTAATTTGAAGATTCTACAAGTGTTATTTGGAAAACAAACTTGAGATTCTAGCATAAAATGGGTACTTATGGGTAAGTTACTAAACACAATTGGCAAGAAATTAGACGATTCAAAAATGGTTTCAGAGTTTGAAAATATATTTGGCATTTCACCATACATTCTAAATTTGGCTTATCTTTAAACTTAGTTGATTTTGACAAGCAAAAATTGCTTAATATAAGTTGATTTCAACTCTAAGCATAAAACACCCTGCTTCTTATAAGTCAAAGTATGTGGCTTTGCCGAGTCAATTCTCAAATTAAACACATGTGAATGAAAAAAGCCAAAATGAGATCGCAACACTGTTTGCACAGCATTGCGCAAATTTATAGAACTTTCAATCAAAAATTCACAAAACAAATTCACATACAAATGGACTAATACTACACTGTGACTAAAATATAATTTAATAAAAAGCTGATAGTATATTACAAGGCACTGATCGCGTTTATCTCAGCCTCTCTTTCAAATCAAAATTAAGCCATTTTATTAATAAAAATGACTGCTACAATCTGTGTTCATCCAAGTTTAGCTTGCTATAAAAGCAACTGACTCATGCAGTGATTTCTTTAAATACTGACAATGTCCACTTCCTTCTGCACGTGCTGCCCCCTATGTGCCAAATATCACCCGATACAATGCTGCGACTAGCGTTCAAATCAACAGTGTTTTACAAGACATTGTCTCATTTCTTCCGCATTCATATTGGCAAGTACTGGCCTTGTGCCAAAATGACTGTTTCTTCTCTTCATGTTCGCTTCTCTTATCTATCATAAGTTCATCACATAACACAGCCTCAACAATGTCCCGCCCCTAGAGCTTCTTTTTTACCAGATAATAATGGTAGGACTACAAGGGGTATTTACTGTACAATACGGTTACACATTTGGAATTCTGAAAACCCAATGATATCGCCCCTGTTTATCTACTCATCATCGCTATCTCTGTGAGGTGTGATATCACACGCTTTGAAAAGTTCCTCGGGTGTGTAACCCAGCAGACTCTGGAGATCGCAAACAAACCGGTACACGTAACGCTTCCCTGCAGTTTTATGGATGATATTCTTGTCGTAATAGTAACGTAAGCCTCGACTCAGTTTTTCGTAGTTCATTTTTGGTTTGTTTTTCCGAATGCCCCAACGACGTGCAACCTCATCCGGATCTGAGAGTTTGAACTCCCAGCCATCCCCGGACCAGCTGATGAAGTGTTGACAAGACTTGTCGGTGAGTAACTCGAGTAGAAACTGCCAAAGTTGGATAGGTCCACTTCCTGAAACACAGCAAGATAATCAACTATTAAACAAGGCCTGATTCCTAGGATGGATGATTCTTCACATAATGGACATTTATTGAAAACTCAAACAGAAAAATGGATAAAATAAGCAATCCAATCAAATTTTAAATACTGGCATAAGCAAATTAATGTGTAATTAAAGGTAATAATTAAATGGCATTGGGTGAAAAAAGTTGATCAAATTTGTCTTTGGTGGTGATATTAAAACAATGTGGCAAAAAGCGCCTGGGTAAAAAATGAAGTGGGTGGTGTCAATTTACCAAATGGTGAAGCTTATATAATAGTAGTGGTCTTGCCATGTAACATTGGCTTATGTGAGAACCTTGCAGTTAACTCAGACTGTCTTGAGACCATCCCTAAGATTGCTTGCAAACTTAAACGTCTCAAAACTGTTTTTTATTCAAATTTACATCAGATAGTTCACAAAACTTCTAAAGAGGTCATAATGAGTACGTTTTTGACTTAGAGAGCCAGGTTTTCAAGTTTCTCAAAGCTCAGAAGTATATATCAATATTTTGAACTTTTATAAAATTCAGCATGTACATTCCTTTAAAGGTACTTTACATAACCAATTGACTATCAAAATCCAAAATACATGTACAGGCATTTACCATATTTAGTAAAATAAATAATTCATCATTGTCAAGAAAATGTGGAACTGAATGGGATTTAAACACAGCTGTTATGAGATATTGAAGACGTTAAACAAACATTTGATGAAGGTCAGGGATTTATTTTTAAGCTTAATTTAAATTAGACAGTTGTTATAATTCTGTTATCATGAGATTTAAATGATTTGATCGATTAAACTTCATAATAACAAAGTTAATCGCATTATAACAGTTGATTTCACTTTATGCTTCAAACTTGTGAATTTTACTCAACCGGATCGAACCTTGCAAATTATCCATCATTTTCATTTTTCTACGATATACATCACAATAAGGTGATCAAAATCAATTCAAGTAGACACTCTAGTTGTAATACATCTACACAGGCTTTACCTTTAATGTGTATATTAAAACATCATTTATGAAATTCACTTAGCCAGTTGGATATACATGTACTTCATGTTTGGAATGTATACACATGAAGAGAATGTTGAATTAATACTTGAATATAAGCAAAAGAGAGTTCTCCTTAAGTGGATGATAAATTAGTAAGCCAAGTAATGAGGTGTTAACAGTTGACTCGATAGGCTAGATATTAAGTGAACAGCGCATAGTTACGGCATGAGAGAGATGATACAGTCTGAAATGTAATATGGTTACCATGAAAACATCAACAAGAAATACATGTACATCATTTATTTGTATATCAAATAAATGACTGAAAGCACAAAAGTGCCATCTGAACTTTCTCTTCTCTGATAATCAATCAAATGCTCTGGTTTCAATGGAAAAGCCAGCCATATTTTCTGCATTTATATCGTTTTGCCTATGTCTGGGGCTTTAGAATTATTCAAATGTTCCTAGGTTTCAATGGAAAAGCCAGCCATATTTTCCAACTGCATTAGTGTGGTACATTATTTCATATGTCTGGGGCTTAAGAATTACTCAAATGCTCTGGTTTCAATGGAAAAGCCAGCCATATTTTCTAACTGCATTTGTATGGTACATTATTTCATATGTCTGGGGCTTTAAAACAAAAACTACAGTAATTCTATTCTATGGCTTGTGTCATTGACAACCACGTGTTTAGAATGTGATTTTACATTTGGAACATGTGAATGACAAATTACATACAGACATGAGGATGAATACAATTAACAACTCTCATGCACACTGTGAGCAAATATGTTTTTTTTAATTTAAACAAAGGAAATAATAATGACATTTCCGATTCATACAACTATTAAGATTCAAAACATAAAGAAGTGCAAAAGCAGAAAGTCGAAACACATGTTATAGCGCAAAAAGATCAGAAGGAAAACTTTAAACATTTTCCATTTTATATTCTGGGCATACCTGAATAACCAGCCAAGGCAGCAGCTTGAATCATGGGCTTAGAGTCCATGCTGCCCAAAGTATTCTCTGCAGCGCCAGCCGCATGTATGCTATGAAACAGCGCATTATTCATATTGCCTCGTACAGACTCCCCCGGCCTTATGTCTCCCTGTCGGATGTCAGTAGGGCGGATTTCCCCATTAGGCCATCCATCAGGGAGGTCCCTGGAGTGGTTCCAGTACTCGTTTTGGGGATTAGGGACCATTTGGTACTGACCCTCACTATTGCCTCTTTGGAAAAACTCTCGTTCTGGTAGAAAAGCTGCAATAAGAAAAATATCTTAAAAAATCATATTGGGGAGGGCAGGGGGGGGGGTTATTCAGGGGGTAAGTTGCAGATATTGACTGGTGTACTTGATTTAGGATTTGACCCCAATATCACGGTGCATTTATGGCCATATATGGGAGTTTGAACGTGAAATGTATGCAAGATATACCTGAAAGCAGAAAATGGGGTGTCATTTCACAAGTTCACCGACTCTGAATAACTACTAATTCTAAAAGGCAAAGTATGATCTGTATCATTTCAAGAATATTAATAATATTGAGATAAAGCCTAACACATACCTCTATCAACATTAGCCTGTCTCTGCAAAGGTGGTCTATATTTCTGTTCTGGGATAGCTGGGTAAAACTCCGAGTGGTTCTCAAAGTAGGGTGGCTGGGATCTATTAGACTCTAGGCTATGATAGTCGGATTCTTCGTAGGAGTTACTATGTGCGAGAGTTGGCCTCGGCTCAGTCTTGATCTCCAGATTGCCATTTAATGCATTAAAGCCCTCGCTGATAGCAAAACTTGTATCTGAAATAAGATCATGTTTTGTATTTGAGAGATGCCAAGTGAATAGAGAATCCCAGTGAATTGTGCTAATTATCTATCAGACACATGATGTCAGTGGTGTAGTTTTAATGAAAGTCTGTCTATTTAATGTAGCAACATGATGAGGAAGAGTTTTTTAGAAATGTCTGTTTAGTCTATGGTTCATTTAGGGCATGACTAAAAAATATTGAACTACTTATGAAAAATGTCAAGAACTCTTGAACATAATAATAATTTCTAAAACTCTCCTGGTGGTATATCTTTTGTTCATGTATGGGTTAGTGTTGTCGCGATGTGCCATAATCAAATGGCACAGATCAAATTAGTAAGAGTACGCTGGTACATCCGGGAACTTCTAGTAACGGTGAAATGAAAGTAAAGTAATTTTTTTTAAATTAATGGTTCATTTCGACTAACTAAAACAGTTTAAAGCGAAAGAATATCAGAAAACATTGGAAAATGAAATAAGACATGAGAAAGGTAAGCGATTTGCGTCAAAATAAGATAAGAAAAGGGTGATTTTTAGCAAATTAATTTTTTTTAAAAACATCGATGTTTTGTTTCAGACATCGATGCATCGCCAGAATCAGCTTTGGCGATGTATATCGCGATGTATCGATTAATTGCGACAACACTAGTATGGGTTGCCCTTAAAAGTGACAATATGCCTAAAATCTCCACACTCTAATATCTCTGCATATTAAATATACATGTATAAAAAAATGAAAAGATCTTGAATTACTTTGAATAAAATTGAATATTATGCAAAAGTTTTTGATATTTGTTCTGTGATGTTTCATTCGAAGGAAATAAATTGAAAAACAGACTTATCTACTCAAGCATTACGGCTGTGTTGTGATTACATATATGTATAATAGCCAAGTCAGTTGTTATCAACAATGTACAAAGATATTAGTACACTATATTGCCTAATACATTTTGCATCAGAATTCATAAATATACATGTATATTTGTCTTCCATGTAACCATGGCAGTATCGCATTACACATAATAGTGAATTTCCAAATGGCAATCTTAAGAAATTCGAAGTGTACTCACTGTCAATGAATGTTTGGCTTGTTTGTGACACAGCTGGGGCAGGTGGGCTGACACGCTGCTGTTGTTCACAATGTTGTTCTCGAACATGCGGTTCTCTGACATCACGAACATGTGGTTCTCTGACATCGCGAACATGAGGTTTTCTGACATCGCGAACATCGCACAGGTCTTGACTATTGTTACTGTAACCTAAAATCACATTTTCATCATTTTATTACTTAGTTACACTAGAGGCCACGGCCAGATAAGCACTCCTGAATTAAACTTTAAAACCTTTGAACGAACTACTTACAAACTCTGAAATAGTCGAGGCAATCAAATAAAAGCTACTGCATAGTTACTTCTGTTGATAAACTTGTATGTTATCTTTGTACTAATATTGATTCACATTATCAGCTTATAAACCCATCAATTAGACTTACATTAATATTTTCAAAAACATAATTCAATATCATTTATGCAAGATATTATAACTGACACTTGTAGTATTTATTGAAGAGGATATTTTTATATCATATGTCAGCATTTGGTTATACTGCAGATCTGAATTGAGAAGTCATCATCTTTCATTATTACAAAAGTATCATGTTCTATTATTATTTTTATGGAAAGCTCTGAATTCACATCTGTTTATCCCAAAGTTAATAGTTGTAATATCAACATATATCGTACCAACAGTTGTCACAAACATGTTTATCACATCAACAGTTGCCATATTGAAAAAAGTCAGATCAACATTTATCAAATGGTTATTACTTGTAGATATCAGCCATAATGGATTGTTAAAACATTATATATGATCGCAATAAGGGCATCACCATTATTATTTCTAGTGGTTCTCAACTCATGGAGATCCCATGACTCGGTTAGCCGCAAACAAAAACAAGTCATACAAATTATGCGCCTGTATTCTCCAGGTAATTTTTCTTGTGAATAATTCTGACTAAACACTTCTTCAAATTATGATACGTGTAATTTAAGTTTACGTTTTAAATTATATTCTATTCAAATTATATCACTGTTAAATTATATCACTGCTTTAAATGGGTGTATTAGCCTTTTGCAGATTATTGACATGGACAATAAGAAAATAAAGATTTATCAGATTCTCATATCAACAACAACAAATTTGGTAAAAAGTAATTTCTAAATTCTTGACATAGTGCTCCAATGCATGGTTAACCCGATCTGATTATTTGATACATGTACATCCAAACACATATAAGATTCAAAGCACACCTTGATTAAGTAGACGCCTTTCTTCAAACTCCGGAGTATTGGCTGGTTCCGGAAAACTGGACTGTGTTTTTATTATGTTGGATTTCTCAGCTGCACTATCTGAAAATACACAGTTCAAAATGTAAGAAAAGATTCCTTTGGACAGATATCTACCCTGGTCTCCATCAATTTGCCATACTGCCCTCTGACTTCAAACAGAATGATAGATTTTTAGTATTGTATTGTGAACTGAATATTAGGTAATCATAGGCAGAACATTTGGTGTCATGATCTTCTGATGACAACTATATTCTGATTGGATAAAGATAGGCGAGATCAATGAATTGAAGAGTAGAGGACAACCTCTTATAAAGGGTATGATGACAAAGACAATTTAAAACTGTTTACAAAATGAAATAAAATAATATCTAATACCAGTCAAGGAGGTTGATTTTCTGAAAAAAATTCCAGGGGGGGGGGGGTTCTCATTTGATCTCAACAATTTTAGGCCAGAGGGGTTGTATCCCTAAACCCCCCTGGATATGGGGCTGGAATCTAGTATAACCTACATTAAAAGGCAGACATGGCCGATATCAAGACTATGTAGCATCCCTGATATACCAATTGAAACAATAATACATGGGGCTATTAAGCCAATATTGGAGTCAAAAATATTAATTTGGCCAATATTTCTATGGTAGACATTGCAACAGCCGTACATCATTATTATAAAAGTTTTCAGTAGTGTGTTGTCCTTGTGGGAAATCATATTTAACATTGAATGGCCATTTGGCATGTGAACCCTCATGTAAATCAGAATCAATCAGCACTACCTTGGAACAATGATAACACAAGGTATTAACATAACAAAATATCACCATCCGGTAAGATATTGCAAATTGTTACAGTTCCATAAATAAGGCATTAACATGCAAATTGTCACCACCTGCCATTTGTTACAGATGCTGAACTCTGAATGCTGGACACCAAACACACTCACAAAACTGTCAGAGACCCTAACAATATGTAACCACTTTTGTGGCTATAATGTGAAGAAAAAAATAATAAGAATGCATATAACATTACATTACCTATCATCATGACATAACAGTCATAAAAAATTGCTATACAGCTCTATGGACTAAGTGGGGGACTAAAAAGTTGAGTAAGGATGTACTTTAAGTAGCAGTCTATTATCCACTTACTGATTAATAAATGGTCAATGAAAACAAGAATGAAATCCTTTACAAACAAGGCATTATCATGCAAAATGTCACCACCAGCCATTTGTTACAGATGCCAAACCACCAAATGACAAAAACCATCCACAAAAAATTGGAGACTGTAAGAATTTGTTACTTCTTCTGGTGGTGATATAAAAATGAGGATACATGCACCATTCAGACAAGATCATTGAGTGAGATCGCTGGTGGTTTCATATAAATTAAGTATGTGCGTTGGATCAAATTCAACCAAGATAATAATTCATAAATGACCATAAAATAAAACATATTTCACCATTAGAGTTTTTTGATGATGAAGGAATAGTCAAATGGTAGTAAGTAAACTATAAATTTGGAGGTTGGTCACAAAACTTTCACTTCTGTAAAATCCTAAGTTAAGATCATAGATCATGTCTAAGATATGAATAAATTAGGATGGGAGACACTTATAGTGGTTATTGACTAAGTCATGACTACTTTCTGTATCATTCTCAATTTAGGCCAGACTCCACATTTAATCAGTAACTAAGGAAACACCTTTTGTCTCCCTAGTTCAGATACAACAATAAAACATGTGTAATGGACAGTAAATGTTAATACAATATTTGTGTATACAAAGGTGGAGTTTAATAGATATCTACTTCCTGTACAGTATCATTACTGAGCCTGATAACAGTGAGTATATATTATCTAAATACAAATAAATAAATACAGTTTTTTATTTGACATTTAAAGATGCATTATACCATAGCTTTCTCTCCCGGACGATCAATGATGTCCCATTATAATTGCTTATATAATATCTTACATACCTCAGATATATCTCAAGACCAACTTATGGGTATACTATTAGTGATAAATAGAAATAATCAACTGGACAACCAACTGTAAGAATTGAATACAATTGATCCTGCGGGGAACAAAGGGAATCCCCATCAAGTGAAACAAGTGCCCGACACGTCCCTTGAACCAGGCAGCCAATCAGGTTCATGATAAACAAATTTAGATAGCATCTGAATTTCCCTGAAATATTCAAATCTCAGATTGAATTAGTTTTTGCAAAAGTAATTCGATCTGTCAGTACAATCACAACATTAGCACTAAAAGGGGGGGGGGATGATTTGTGACTTCTATGTTGGTAAGTAGATCGGTGAATATGTGGTAAAACTCTATGTGTAAAAGACTCCAAGGGGTCTCAATTGTGTTTTCCTATGGTATAGTACCTCTTTAATATGGCAGAAAAAGGGAATTATTTTTATAATTATTGTTGTTAGGATCAATAGCATTAACAAAATGACCTTCCTTCGAGATTAAATCAATTAAATATCAAGTGTATATTTTCAATATCAAATGTTGATCTTAAAAGTTCTTCAGGCATTAAGATACATACTACATATTATAAATACTTAATACATAATATACATACTTAATACATATGAATTGAATATACCTCAGAACAGTTTACACTATTGCAATACAAAATGTTGAATTGAATTTAATTTGTAATAGGAAACCACAATTACAAGAAGATAAATCCAACTGAAAAAATTATTGAAATAATATTTGATGTCTTTATCAACATTAACCACATTCGACAAGTCACAATAAATACAGACGCATGTTTGACCTAACACATTTTTGATAATATTTATATTAACAGAATACAACTCAGAACATGTGAAAAAAATATGATAGACGCAAGACACATTGAATCATTTAATAGTACATCATAAGTTTGGCATCCTGACATTGTCAGTGTTTTACCAATTTATAATTTTCAATAAAATAAAGAAAATGTTTTTATTGTTAGTCCTTATTCTCCGTATAACTGTACTTAAGGGTGATGACACAGAAATTATATACAATTCCATGGTAACATACCTTAAATGTAAAACTATTATAATGTAATATATTGCTAATGAATGAATGGTTACTATAGTAACCAATAGTCACATAATATTGACTCTGGCCTCATCATAGAAGCTTCTTTCAAAATATTTCCACCCTCAGTAATTGAATGAATGTACAATATAGCTACAAATGTCATAATAATGACGAAAACCAGACACAATAATTTAATTGTTTTAAATATTAATTGAAATGTCAAGTCTATGAAATCTTCAATCATGCATCCAGATTATCAATAAAGCAATAAATATCCTTGCATTAAATCCTATCATTAATGCGTGGAAATTTCTGAATTTCTTCAGAGTGCATGTTCAATGATTTAAAGCGAAATCCACAAGGAATGTTGCCAGAGTATGTGTCTTCATTAAGAAATAATAATGGGAGCTTAAGTGCTAAATATATAATAATTATAACACAATAGGGATAGAATATACTCACAATTACAACACTGCTAATCTAGATTTATGAGCTAGACAAGCTATGATGTATTAACGGATTACAAGAATACAGGTACAGCTTACTAAATGCCATTTACAAGACGATGTGGTTTGTGTTTGCTAATTTTAGCATTATTAGCATCTTTCATAAAATTGTCTGATTTAAAACATGTGAAACAAGTTTAATGACTTCGTTTAATTGTAAAGATAAATGCAAATTAAGACATACATATACTACATAGAAATATATCAAATTATAACTAATTGAATCAAAGATGCCAGAGAAACGTATGAGCTGAACTACAATGAACGTCAGTCGAGATGAAAGGATCAAAATATAACACCTTACTCAGTCTAAAATTAAACAAATGGCTGACAGAACGAACATTGAGGTTTTCATAAATTGAACTAAATCTACTCATGTTGACGTAAATGTGCGAGTCTGATTGCCTTAATACTGATCTTCTAAATTATGAGTAATTCACCTTTGAGGTTCTACACGGTGAGTGTTATAGCCTGATTGAGGAGAAGCTTTGAGGGTTTCGCCATGTTATGAATTTTATCACGCTAAAAGTTGGATTTTTCACAAGGAGGAAGTTACAGAGATCACGTGTGATTATAAAATATGAGTTAAACCTAAACACGAGACCTCAAAGAATCAAGGGGACACTTTACAATGCACTTGAAGAATAACTAGTAATGTCATCTAATCAGAAAACAAATGATGAGAATCCTGAGAATCTATCTTCAGATCCTTGGAAATAATTAATGTACAAGTGTGTGATTTTTTCATTTTCAACATGTTTTCTTACCTTTCTGAAGGATCTCGAGATGCTCCCATAGAATATCACCCATGAAAGGTGGCGCCCTTGACAGGAAATTCTCTTTGCCCATTTTCAGCAGATTTTGGCCAGACATTTGAAATGCTCCCATGTTGATATTTCCCAGGTTAAATTCATTCACGATCCACATCAGCCATTGCTGTATCTGAATATCAGACCATTCTGCTGGATCTAAAATCAAACATTTTACCCATAATGCAACAAAATATATCAGATGGCTTTCCATTTGGAATAATGATAATATAATCAAGAAATGTTTTACAGGTGATGAGGACAATATTATATGCCATTATTGACATGTTAGGGGTAAAACAAAAAAATCTAATAGGTGGCAGGCTTAACTGTTGTTTCCTCACAACCATACTATACATGACAGATGGTTCCCATTTTGGGAAAATGGGACTTTAATTTTCATAATTTGGATCCAATTTTTGATTTTAGGGGCCCAAATATTTTGTCAACGCTTGTCCCCCCTAGTTTTCAGATCAATCCCTGTTTAACCTCCATAGTAATATACATAGCTTATTCTGTATATGTGTATCATATGTGTTGATGTTATATAACCATTTATCATTTTCATTAAGACTCATTACCTCATGGTATGTTAATTATGGCCTGGACCATACCATACAAATCATGATTAACTAAAATAGTACACTGAAATAACTTCAATCTGCATGACGTCACTTCATATTTTTTATTTATTTATTTATAAATCCAAATGCAGAAACATAAAATACCCTTTGAAAATGTCAACTCTTAATTCTGTAAAACTGAAACAAGTCTATTTAAAAAGAATATGGTGTACAGAATATGCATGCGAGACCAACAAAAAAGTTCTCAATATGAAGAAACATGAAAACCAGAAAATATCACTGGAAAATGGACATATAAAAATGTCAGTCTCCTGATTTCTGCATATCATATCTAATTTTTAAATGAATAAACACAAGGAGCTCACACGTTTGGAGCTCATGACCTCATTGTTACATACAGCAGCTATCTTGGCTTGCTTATTTTCAGTGTCCTCATATAAATATACAGTTCAACTATGCATTGAGTGAATCATTTCATCAAAACTGAACAAAAACGTAAATGAGCTATACTGTATAATGACGTATACTGTACTCCCGGTATATTTCGCATGTGATTTAGTTTCGCCCTTTTCGCGATTGTGTTCAAATCGTGAAAATTAATTTGTCGCGAATTTCGCCAATTAAAGGCCGAGGTAAATCTTATCCAAATATGACATTTGGTAGGTGTAATTAATGTAGATAGGATAAATTAGTTTACAGAGCTCAAGGATTCAGAAAATAATGGAATTTAAACTTTTGAAATCCCGAAATTTAATGGCCGCGAAATTGGCGTTTCTCAAAATTCACAAAATTAAAACTTGCGAAATAAATCAGGAGTACAGTAGTATATGTATATAATAACAAAGATTTTTGTTGGCATAATGCATCAAAAAAGCTAATATGGTGAACAGATGTGCTGGCATGATTTCAGGGATAAATTGAAGGTTACTGATATATCAAGTTAGAATTAACATTCAACTTCAAAAATTAAAAGCTGTACATGTATATACTTATTAGATCGCAGGTAGCAACAAGGCACATGGTGAGCAATATCATACTTAAAAATCAAATATGGACGCCTTAAAATTTACTTATTTCATGTCTAGAAATGAATCAGTTCTTGATTTTCATACCAACATTCACAAAAATTTCAAATCCATCCATCAAGCTGCTTGTCTGGAAATGTCCAGACAAAAAAGGTGAGACCACCACCTATGCCTATTTACCAAGCTGACAACTATTTTTGTACTTTTGAAAAAAGAAATTAATGTGATCTTTATGATATAACATTGGCGTTAACTTATTATGTTGATTTGTTATTTTTGGCAATTTTAAGCAACTTTTCGAAGGATCAAATGATCAAACTACTATCTTAACTGAACTCTATGAGAAATTAATGAAAACAAGCATGTGGATAAAATAAATACAAACACTAATAACATTATGTATAACTTACCTCGTGGTATTCCCAATCTACGCTGTTCTCTCTCGAAGCTCTTGAATGTAGCCTGGAGTGCGGCCGACATCTTTTGATTGGTACCTGGGGTGAGAGGGGGCACTTGAGTCTGAGGTAAATCTGAAAGTAAAAGATCACAGAAATCATAATTTAGTCTATCAAAACAATATCTTACTGTTTATAAGTCTAGAAGTTGTGTGTTGGATATAGTGATAGCATCACTTACAAGTGCTTTTCAACATGCTCAATTATCGCCCATGGTTAGACAAATTTCATTCATTGAAGCAAACTATCTAAATGTGTCCATATTCATGCCTCAATAATTCACGATACCAGTATCAAATCATCCAGGCCTTTCTAAAATCCATGTTCTTTTTATAGTTTGACCATAACTGAAAATAATCGAATCAAGTATCCATGAAAACTCCTCAGTTCATCCGTAAAAATAACAGTTGTACATACTGTACGTACAGTTGAACGTATTGTCTTACTTACGCATGTATAAGCACTGTGATCAATTCGATGATTATGATTTGAACTAAGTAGTATACGTAGGGAGCAGTTATAGTTTTATCATTATCACCCATAGAGATTTTACTCTAAGGTGCTAATAGACCTCAGACTGCGAAACACAGAAAGTGCTGAGATATTAAAACCGTATTTGGGCACAGGAAATCCTGTCACATTTTTTAATTGTCAAATAAGCAAACATAAAAGAATCAAATAAGTTTTTAGATCTTCTTTCCAAGATTGATTTGAGCCACCAATTGTCAAATTGCCATTAGATTCTAGTCAGCATACATTACATATTATATCAATTATAACACATTTGGGGTTTGCTCCTTTTGGATGACTGTGCAATAGAGAAGATCCCAGAGAAAGAAATAAAGGATTCATTTGAAGCATGAAAAGACTAAACTTATAAATTATTGTTGACAGATGGATGGACAAAGAGATGGATGAGTATGCCATGCAAGAGGTTCACTACAATATATTAGCCAAATTTTAAAAATTCATTGTTGGTCGATGGATGATGATGATGAACGAGTGGGTGATTCAATAGGCTAACTATAGAATGTGAGCCAAAAATGAAATATCACCATTGTCAAGTAGAAATCTCATTGCTTCAAGAAAATATTTTTTTTATATTGCAGGAACATGGACTCGTGGCAACAGTAGTTTGTTTGATAACGCTAACTACAGTAGTTTGATAAAGCGGTGGTTTTTGCAATGCATGATAAGGTGCTGGGAGATCCATTCAATTTTACACTTGAAAAAGTCAGGAAGAGTTAAAAAGTTTGTTTGAAATCAAAGACCTTCTCTACTTCTTACGTATCAAGCTCTTCAGAATATGGGCTCCTCTTCAAACTGCCAGTCAAAAGTCAAGATATCAGAGGCATAAAAAATAGACCTATTCATCTCGCTATACTTCATTCATAAAAAACCTTCTAGGTCATTTATGTTCACCATTTCTGATTCACTTTAACATGGCACAAATAAATCATAGATTTGAAAATGAAAATGTACATTGTTAAATAAGTAAATGTTAGAACTCTAATAGAGCACTTATAACACTGGGGTTTGTTTTACTTATGACTGGCAGTCTCTTAGAATTTTCTTTTCTCTCTGTTTCTTGTTCATACACTTTGGTATAGCCTTTTGGCATATACGCTTATGTATATGACTAATGAGGGTGCCATGTTTTGTTACAATAGAAAACATGTGCAAAACAAGTGATTTGTCATCCGATTTTTTTAAAAAGGCTGATAAATATTGACTGCCAATATCCTAAAAATAATTAAAATCCACAAGGGTTTGAAAATAGCATCAGTAAATAGTCTATGAATATTACATTGATGTTTTAATAACCCCTATATACACATTTATGTAAATGTGTAGTATTTTATGAATGAAAAATCTTTTTAGATGAGTTGAATCAGAACTCATGAATGAATGTTATTTACATTGTAAAGACTAGACTCAGATGATGGTATACATTATGAAATATGCATGAATATGAAATACATCACTGCCAGCGGTAATATCGATCATATCACGATACCAGAGTAATTAAAATTAAAATCAATTCCTATAAATAATAACATATTAAGACTAAGAGTCATGAATAAAAGATAATGTGAATAGCAATCAAATAACTGCAATTCAATGGCCCTTTATTTATATATTATAAGCTTTCACTTTTTTATAATATACTGTACTTAATGAAAGGAAAATTATATTGTTCAAACATATGAGTACATGGTATAAAACGAAATCATTTCTTATTCTTGGCATGAGCTCACATGTCCACCAGGAGGTTGAAGTTTAACTTGGCAGCTAACATCATAAGTCGAATACGATGGTTATGTGATTTTATGAATGAGGCTCTAAAACCACAAGTTAACCTATGACCCACTCACAAACACATTTTATGAATGACGCTTAAACAGCCTAAAATCTTGTAGTTTTATGAATGAAATCACCAGGCGAGAGTCACTATATACTAAACAAAGATCAAATTTCAAGTGGCCTAATAGAGAAAACCTGGTTTGTGGTAGGGACTATCTTAAAAATAAAACAATTATTTACATGTCATTGATTTAAAACATATTTACAAAATGCAGAAATATGAGCTTGTCATTTTGTAACATATACATAATGCTTGGTTGTCAAAATGGAGTCTATTTTTGAATCTGTATACATTAACAACAGTTGATATTTTGAGATATTCCCTCAACAAGCTAAATATAGACATAGACCTTTATACAAAGTTGAATGGCTTGTGCTATAAGCAAATATAAAAAACATGCTAGCTATATAACTCATAAACTTGAGTTATGAATGAAAGCATTGAATTTTGACATTATACAAACAATCTATGAATGAAGATGGAGAATACACAAAATGCAATAACAAAGTTGGATAAACATAAAGATATTATGAGCCTTTTGTGAGTTTTAAGAAACCCTAATAAGGAAGTAGTTGAAGATTTGTTGTGACCTCCATTTGGTTAAAGCGTTCCAAACAAAACGAAATAGATTGAGAAAATGCGTTCTAACTGTAAAGAGTCAACTAATCCCTATAAATAAGGATATTGTACTGTAATATAAAAAACTGCATCTCTATCTATTAGGTCAAGTGAAATATTTTGATATGTGGTCTAAATGAAAACGTCTGTCTGGTGGGGTTCAACGTAAGAAAAGGAAGATTGTGGTTACTAGAACGTACCACTATTGGCGAACCTATGACATCACATACTGACAGACCTAACCAACAGAAAACAAAGAATTCATCTTATAACACAGTCTATAGGCTCTGTTGATCCTAATCAAACTACCATATAAGAGAAACTGAAAATTGTAACTTATCCGATGTCTAAAAACAGAAATATCATAAAATGATATATTTTCGTTTCAACATTTTCCGAGAAATATATCTTTTATTTTATATTATTATATTGAAATATATTTCAAAGAAATGAAGGTAATAAAAATCCATCTAATATAAAACGTTTGTTTATAATCTGTGGTTTGTGGAGAGGTAGTAGTAGAGTTCCTGCCACAGAACAACCTCCAAATATACCTTATATACACACAAATCATCAAAAATACGAACATTTTGTTGATCTAAATAATTAATACTTCCCATTGGTATATTAACATGAACTATTTTCTAATATTCTCTATTCAGTCAAAATCTTGGATATACGTTTTAAAGATTGCTTTGTTTGAATGAGATATCATCCATGTAATGAGTTCTCATCAGTTAGCAATTGAGACTGGAAGACATACAAAGCCAAAACCAAAACCTTTAGAGGAAAGAGTATGTAATATTTGTAAAGATGTAGAGGATGAATGTCATTTCTTTTTAGCTTGTACAAAAAATGATGAGAATAGGCAAATATTATATACAAAAGCCCGTGAAATTTTACCTAACTTTGATTTACAAAGTGAAAACTTATTTGTCAATCTTATTTCTAGTAAAAATGTAACCTTGCAAAGACATATTGGCAAATTCATTTACCATTCATTTAAGAATTTAGCATGGTCATAATGCATTGTGTGTGCACCACACTATTATTGTTACCTTATATATTTTTATATATTTTTTGTATTTTTAGTTTAGTTGGTGTTTTGTAGTTTAGATATGTAGTCTACCATAGTTCTGACTAATGTAATCATGTTATGATACTATATGTCAATAAAAAGTTATATATATATATAAAGTGATGTCACTCATAAAAACTGATGTCACTCATATAAACTGACGTCATTCATATAAACTTTCAACCTTGAATGGGTTGTTTATATGTATGTAACTCATTTCATTTAATGCATGGACCACCAACATTTCTTTGTTATCGCATTTAGTTTTGAAAGTGCTAATTATTTTTTAAATAAAAAAAGGTAAACTAAAAAGTTTGTTCTTTCACTTTTTAGTGAACAAAACATGTTTTTACCACCCAGTTAACAATTATGTGAAACATACAAGATGGTGTCAAACTCAACTATAAAAGTAATATATATGAATAATAACTCAGATATAAAAAGGCATTAATAATATGTCACACTAAAAACAACATTTTTAATAAACTATAAACAATAAAACATTGAAAAATTGATTTGACGAGTTGATAATCCATGTATGGGGCAATAACAAAGTGTTATGTTCTTATTTTGTTAATATCTTTTTTATCTTTTTCATATATCACCTTAACTGATTAAACTGCATAATGTTTTTTTCATTAATTACCATGTGAGCAAAATTAGTATTCATGTTCATCAGGTTCACTTCGACTATTAATTAATAAATAAGCCAGCATAAATGTGTTAAAAATTGAACGATTTACCACTATTCTCAATGTGTGAGAAGAGAAATATTGGTACAGCTTGGTTCAATGTTTACATCAGCTCATCTGATCAACTCCTTAATACGCCTACAACAATTCTAAACATAACCCTACCATATAGATAAACAGTGCTAATAGACAACTATGGTCCCGCTCAATGGCTATGAGAATATACTTCAGGCCCATAGCCAAAAGTGCTCAGAATGGTGAAAAACCGCAGAAATTTTGGCTGGGGGGGGGGTGGAGTTGGCTACGGCTTGTACTTATGTGTAAAGACAATTGCTTTACCTTAATGCCATAAACAGAAAGGGAGGGCTTACTATTGATAGATAACGAGAAAGTTATTCTAAATAAAATGCTGCATATGTCTACATTGTCTAATATGTGAAGAGTATTGAATAATGAGTATTTAGGAAAAAAGGTGCCAGCTACCACTGATGTCATCTCATCAATAAATTAGAGTACATGTATGTACAATATGCCAGGGTCAGGTAAAACATTACATAAAATATAAAGTGTTCATATATTAACAAAACCTTAATAGAAAAAATCGTTTTAGTAATGCAAAGTCGATTAATAACAGAAGGCAACTACTCCCTCATCTTGAAACAGGGAACACCCGTCACATGATACATAACCCCAAGATGCAACAGGTATAAATTATATTCCGCCAGATTGTCCAATGATATTCTGTATCATTTTCAAATAAAATAGCCAGAACAGTTTATGTAGTTCAATGATTAGTTTCCTTTGGTAACAATCAGTTCTCTATTTAAGTTATGATTAATTTAGTTTCTTCATTAACAATAACTTAAACTTAAGACTCAAAACAGCTTGTGCATTCTGGGAGATGATCTCCCTTGCCCCAATTTTAAGATAGCATTCTATCAGCAGACACAAGAGTATATACTGCGATTCACTGGGACGTCTTTCATTCATGATTTCTGTCACTTGTCAAGTCTGATTAGTGTTTAAAACAACATCCAGATTGTAACTCAACTCCCTATAGACAGCTTCTTGGAGGAAAACAATCTTCTGCCTTTTGTAGTTTATATATACAGTGATAACCCATTGACTTAACCTGCTGATCTTATCATCATCAAAACTGAAATCATCTGTCTATCCCAGAGTGCAGAATGACTGGCTGATGGGGAATCAGGGTAAACTCTATATAATTTTATATTTGGGTACCCTATTTAGGTACCCTATTTCTGCCATATAATTTTGTATTTAGGTACCATATTTCTGCAATATAATTATATTTGAGTATGGGTTCCCTATTTCTGCCACATAATTTTGTATTTGAGTACCCTATTTCTGGCATATAATTTTGTATTTGGGTATGGGTTCCCAATTTCTTCCATCTAATTTTGTATTTAGGTACCATATTTCTGGCATATAATTATATTTGAGTATGGGTTCCCTATTTCTGCCACATAATTTTGTATTTGAGTACCCTATTTCTGGCATATAATTTTGTATTTGGGTATGGGTTCCCAATTTCTTCCATCTAATTTTGTATTTAGGTACCATATTTCTGCAATATAATTATATTTGACTATGGGTTCCCTATTTATACCATATAATTTGGTATTTAGGTACCATATTTCTGCAATATAATTTATATTTGAGTATGGGTTCCCTATTTCTGCCATATAATTTTGTATTTGGGTACCCTATTCTTACCTCGCTACCCTTCCCCCCATTGCTAACCTACAACAATGCTTTATTCTGGATACTGGATATAAATCATATTCATTGACCATATGATCACAATTTCCACTTGCTACTAGGCTGTGACACTTTTGGAATGACACGTCATGACAAGTGAATATGAAGAAGATATATTAGAATGGGTGACAAATGCATTTATGACATATTATACTGGATTATAGCTGTGTTGTCGACTTAACATGAAAACTGCATCCCAGATGTCAACCATAACGACGCATCAGAATATTTTATCCTATACTCTACTCCTTTATTACCAGAATGAGCCCACAGAGTAAATTAATAATATAATGACAATTCTGTTCGTTTGGCATTTATGTACCCAAGGGAGGCCCCGTCAGCGTTTGACATGAACTGAAATTGATGAAAAACACGAAAAATCATTTATTCTACCAAGACAATGAACTATCGAAAAATAACTTTATAATTTGGGATTATGTTTTTGAGAAGACTTTTTTATATGCATAAATGTCATTAAATGTGATCTATAAATATACTATGAAGCAAAGCAATTATATATTTTTTTTATATTTATATTTTTCGTTGTAAACGAAGATTCTAATATAGATTTTGGTGACCTATATTGAATAATAATTTGACTTCTACCATCTCAATCATGACAAATTATTTTTAATTAAGAACTATTTTCTGACATATTCCAATTCAAGGGAATGTTTCTTGAGATAATCGAGGATCACAAATTCAAAATACCGGCTGCCTTTTACTAAACTAAAGCAAAATTAAATACATTAACCAATATAACTATTCACCTCTATCAAACTGAACCAGTAGAATTTTCATGTAATAATTAATATTTTAATCTAATTCATCTTGCAACAGGTATATGGAATAATGCGGGTGATTTATTACAAAAGAGGATTAATTAAAATTTCAAAATTAATTTCAAGATTTAAGAGACACATTCTGTATTATTTCATAAACAAAGCCTTTTAGCTTATACTTACTGGAAAATATTTCCTCCTAGCAGTGACATGATTTGGGTAAATGCTATTTATTTGAACCACCAAGAGACTCGCTCGGAGTGAAATAACGGATACAAGCTTAAACACTTGTAGAGTCCTGAACTCACATTAATGACGTGAATGAACTATAACTTTCATCTAATAAGAAAGGTTGAGAAAAAAAAAAAAATCCATCATAGAGATTATTACAAAAATCATTCAAAATTTATTCTTATTCATAAATCAATACCCAAATTCATGAATTTTATATTATTGTTTAAAGGAAAATCAGTACCTTATATATAACCAGTAAAGTTGAAATAGCCTTTTATTAGCTCATGGACATTCGCTCAAAAGATGAAAATAGAATTTTAATTCAACTCACAAAAAGGTAAATAGAAACAGAAACATTGCAAATTGAGCTGAAACTTTTGAATTGCTATCTTACAATTCCTTACTATTCAGTCTTCTATGTTTAATAAAAAAAAGTACTGTATATGAATGTAACAGATAGAACAAGATGGTTTTCCAATTTTAACAACTTACTTACCTAAATATGTTTTTATCCCATGAGTTAGCTGCATGGTAGTGAAATGTTAATGTCAACAAAATAAGATGAACGAATTCATGGATCATTATTTTGCAAGATGGTCGTTAATTCCTAAATTGGTATACAATGTGAGAAGTTTCACAACATCCATTTTGAACAGTAATCGTCAGTTTTATTTGCTCTATACTTTTTTAATACTATACTCTATGCATTAGTACCTATGCCAGTAGTTCATATGTAGCTTGAACAAAACCCAACATGGGACCAGAAACACTTTTAACAGCTAACCTCTCATAAGGACCAACTCATTTATAAATGACTTAAATTTATATTACAAACTTACGGGTTTCTACTTAGTCAGGCGATATGTGATTTAGGTCATGTGACCATACTTGATTGACAGGTAAGGTTTTATGAATGAGAACAGCCGCTAATGCTGTATTCAAAGATCTGTAAGATGCAAACACAACAAATCTGCCTGGCATATGTTGGCCCTGTCTGTAGAACCCTTTTGCTATATAAATATATCCAGCTGATTTACTACGAAAAACACACAGCTAAAAGCTTTCAATTTACAATCACTGGGTACAATAATATGAAAAACATAAGAGTTTAACACATGAATATCCCAGTTGAATTAAAACTCACTTTTCAACCTTGTTTGATCCCAAAATGGTTGTAAGCATCGCTTTCCTTAAAAGAAAGATTGTATGATGTTCTTGTTAAAAGGATTCCTAGTCGATACACCACAAAACAAATTTTTCGGAGCATATCTATGGCAAAATGAGCATGTTGCAATGTAGCTAGATGATAAGCGTGGAACCTGATGAATAACCTGTCAATCAAGCACTTACAAAGAGAGATAATCGCTGACTTACTATCTAACAATTAAGAGAAACAAAACACTCGTCCTCCAGAATGATGCATTATGATGAGGTGTTTGAATATATAAGTTTTACTGCATGTTTAATATCACATGTATAAACCTTACCACATTTGATCAAAATCTCACTTGATATTGGTAAAAATCTCAGAATCCATCAAGTCTTTTAGAAGACATATACCCTCTGTATTTTTACATCAGATGTGAAACAAAAAGTCATTCAACAACTCACCAAATGTCAAGTACCAACTCAAATAACAATGGGTTATGAATAATTATATTGAAAGAAAATTAGTAAAACATTATTTCAAACATTATTCTGCTAATTATAATAATCTTGCATTTCTCGTCATTAGTGTTTCTATAGCAGCATCTAGAACTCAACTAACTATATCCTGTATGTCTAGGTTTGTATGTCTAGCTTTCTATCGAGAAAAATATTTCCATAATTTTTTTTTCAGTTAAGTAAATACTTACATCATCCTACATAAGGGCATCTATGATTTTTTAATCAAAGAGGGTTTAATATATTCAACATTACATCAGCAATTATCATAGATACACTTTGTGCTAGATTAAGACCAGGATTTTATTAAACAACAGATAAAAATAATAAAGACAATAGTATCAATCTCATCTATAATCCTAGCTATACACATAAATTGTCTGAAAATCAATATTTTTCTTTGACTTAACGGTATCAGTGTTATAAAAAATAAACAGTTTCAAGGTGCAATAAAGTATACGTTATTATTTACTTTTTGTTAACGTTATGAGTAAAACATGAAAAAATTAAAAATAAACAGAAAAAAACGACGTACTTACATCTCAGCAAAAACAAGATGAAATACCCATGTTTTGTTCTTAAAGTTTTACTTTGAAACAACACATATATACCATTACATTCTGTTAAGGGATGGTGTCTTGTACTATATTGACAACATTTCTGTGGGTGGGAGGATTGATGAAGGTTTAATTCTTTCACAAAAAATTCATTTTTGGCCAAGTAAAATACTGTATTGCACCTTCTCAAATCCGTTCAGTGGTCACTTGCATACATAATCATACTGTTATGAAAGTTTTTTTTACATACAGACATATTTCAAATTTAGCTTTTCCATATCTGAACATTTGGACTCTATCCCTTATTCAAGCACATCCGTTTTCATATTCCCTCCTTGAAAGTTGACTCTGGCAACGGACATTAGAAAACGTATTCCATGTGAAATAAAGTAAGCAACTAATTAAATATGAGATGATATAGCCCTGGGATGGATATCATTTACAACTGTTTATAGAAGATATATGAAAGTAAAAATTGTCCTCTGGCAAAGAAGAGACACAAGTCCTATCTCATATCTAAATCAGAGAATGAAACATTCGTTTGCTGCATAACTTAATTTATACAGATTTTAATTAGCCATCTGAGGTCACATGATCAGAATTTGAAATAGCTATGACTTATGGGTACCACCTCCTTTGTTTATAAACTATACTTCAAGATAGAATATACTAGATTAATGAAGTATATGTGTATGTTCTGAAATGATAAGCAGCTAGAATTACATGTCAAATAAGTAATTCTTCAAAACTAAAACCAAAAATGGTCAGCTTCTTATATGAGAATCACAGACATTCAGTTATAAAGGATATCGCAAACTATGCCCTTTAACAAAACAAGACATGGATTTGAGATGTTTCTCCAGAATCTCTTTGATACAATGATACAGATCTTAAAACACTTAATTCTAGAGTTAAAAACTAGAAACATTCATTATTCAAATCTTGAAACATAAAAAATAGAATCCTTTTAAAAAGACCACAAAAACAAACAAAAAAGTTTATACAGTATCGACAAACAAATTACACTTTTTTGCTCAAATCAAAGTGCTAAAGGCTCAAAAGCTAAAAGAGTTTAAAAACTGCCAATAATTCAAAAAATGGTTGCTTTAAATTGAAATTGAGCAGTGGTTTCTTATCATTAACACAGGCTTGGATTGAAAAACAACTTGTAATGTTAAGTCTAAAGTTAGATCATTGTGATCGCTATTATCATTAGTCAATGGTTGCCATGACAACAGTAAGCGCTTGTTTCTGGTAAGGCTCAAATTGCAGACAAAGCTCTTCTTTAATTTTCTCATTAAACATTCTATATTACAAAATATAAGTACAAAGCGCAGATAGTGTTCAGTTAAAGGCCTGATAATTCTCTTCGTATATAACGCTTATACATTTTTTAAATCCATAATGATATGAAACTACTGTGGCACCATTATGAAAAAATCCTGGAGAGATTAACTATTGTGGAATCTATACTGAGACTGCTTCTTTCAATGACAAGTGTTTTTCTTGCAACGTGATGACATTGCATAAGCAATTAAATAATTCATATGAAGTAAAAAAAAACTCAATGACTATTTCCAAAAAAACAAAATACATGTAAAATAACATCAATTTCATCAGGTTTTAAGTTAAGCTATTGACAAAATCTCTATTATAATTCATTATTCAAGATATATTTAGATAAATACCTGATGTGATTTTTATCTTAATGAAATTACCTTATTGAATCATTTTGTGTTACCGAGCAACAAAAGGTATTTAATAGGCTATGAATATGTAAGAAAAACAATAGGTAAAGAGAACACTTTAAAAAGCTTTACTTTGTGAAAAACTGATTTGTGGGGAATGGGTATTACAGGGACAGGTAGGCTGGTAAGAAGATAAGGAAAGTGCAAAATAAAGATAACATTTGTATAGTACAGTAGACTAGACCACACAGTAAAATTTATAGATTTCGGATATAAGTTACAATATGAAACTGAACCTTGTCATTAGAAATAGATAAAAATCTCATCATCAAATGATGCGACTTTTCAAACTGAAATCAAAAATGAATTTTTGCATTAATGATGAATCTCTATGGCTAGGATTTTGTGTTTATAAAGTTGTTATTTACAACAGATATATAAGAACTATTAGACAGGATCTATTTATCACATAAAATTATTTTGATATCCAAACAAAAAACTAGATGAGTATGTGATATCTTAGTAATGGAGTCATCATCGAAAAAGTTAATATTCATAGAATCAAATTGAAGAACAACGCAACAAAATCTGATTTTTTAAACTTCTCCGACCTCAATAGTACATTTGAAAAATTTCTAATACTTAGTACATCAACATAAACAATCTTTAAGTCCAAAACAAAACAGTGATGGATAATGTAGTTTAAAAATTTATGTCTCCTTCTGATATGCACATAAAATCTTATCTGGTCTAGCAGAAGTAGAAATACATAAGAGTTTACATTTCATTAGTCTAAGTAATTAGAATGACTAATGTTATTTTATTATGTAATACGTCAATAGTTATGTATATAAAAAATTATATATTACATATATGTTTTCTCAATAAAGAGAAAAAACGGGCAAATTATGAGCAATCCCTTTAAAAATAATAATCTCCGCTATGAATGTTAATATCAATCTGAAATCAAATATTTGAGAAACAAATAATATCAAGAAAAAATAATGAATTTGTTTTTTCTTTTATATAGTTGATTTTGTCATTCTTCTATGATTCTCTATCTATTGTACAGTACCTTAGCTAAACTGGAGTTGTTATTACACAACCAAATATCAAGATTGATTCAACATCTACTTTGTATTACGTAAGTACCATTATAAAATGATGCCCCTAGATGTAAAACAAATTGATTTTTTACAAACCAACAGAAATGGCTCTCTGACTCGACTTGTATCGTTTTCCAAGACAACAGTGCCTAGATGCGACACAAATTGATTTTCCGCAAAAACAAAAATGGATTTCCAAGTCGATCTCTACTGTTTTCTGTAACAATGTAAATGTATCGACAAGAGTACCTTTCTAATGTCAAGGCATTATCCCCCATGACTTTACAATCAATTATATTCACACAACCCTTTTGACTAAGAAAATGCCAACGGAGAGAGATCCCTGGTGTTGAAGCAAGAATGCACCATGGCATAAAATAATTGCTGATACCAGTACTAGTACAGGGTTGCAACAATTCAATTTTTCCCTATTTAAGCAATTGTCATCTTTTATCAATAAAACTGAAGCAAAAGAGTTATATGTTCATTGACAATTTTACTTTAATTTTTTCCATTCATGTACCCTTCAATTTGTGATTTAATTTTTATTTCTTTATCTAACACTTTTTTAAATGATTTTAATCACAAAAACATGCTATTCATAAATTTACCTTCTTTCATAAGAAATGTAAGATGAACTACATAACAAAAATATTTCAAAGGTTAAAAATTATGTCACACTGAAACTTTGCATTCAAAAGTCCTGATTTTGTTGAAAAATTCATATGTCTCCAAGAGGTTGAGATGACATTGATGAACCTTACTTCAAGTATTTAAATATTAATCAGACTAAGCAAACGCAAATCTTATCAATGATGCTGATAGAGAAATATTGATCTTATTGTTAAGATTCAATGCTTGATTGAACATACAATGTCAGTATAATGTCAAAGCACTGTTGGCACTGTTAAATCATAAAATACAGTTGAATACCTGGTAAAGGAACAAAAGATATTATTTTCCAATTATCCAGGGAACCAGCCCCCCTCCATCAGTCAATCACCTCTGCGAAGAAATATGTCAATCACCTTGATTATGATGTAAAAATTGTGCTAATGAGCATTAAAGTGGTTAGCAGATAGCAGTTTTATGTTCAGCTATAGGTAAGATTAAGAAACTGAATTAACTTATGGCATAAATGAAATGACATTGAGTAAAGCGGATCAAGATTCACCTTGACTTTTTGATTCATGATTGAAGAGTTCTTAGACTATCTAAGGATAAAATGAACTGAATAAAATAAGTAAAACGAGGCAATAACACATGACAAAACGTGACCACCTTGTAAGTCGTTAATTTGTTACAGATGCCTAACGCTGATCGCTGTCCCTTGAATGCTGAGCACGATCTACTAAAGGTATGAGAGTATACCTTTTGTTGATGAAAAAATTTAAAACAGAATATCGGCTGATGAAGCACTTTTATAGATGATCAACTCTTCAAAATAAATTTACTTGCTAGGACTCAATTTTTGTCAATCTACTGCGAGTCTTCAGGTTATATAGCAGCAATAAGAGTGTCTTGGGAATACATGAATGACTGATCAATATATGTAGTTATTATTATCATGTTTTTTAACATCCTCCCTCAACATAAGATGTCCATTAGTGTCTGACACTACATCCGTTCTCATGTCGATGGGGGGAAAAGATTTTCCTTGACTCTGGGAGCTAGTTAGGCCCCTACACATTCATTTTCAGTTTAGCATGAATTCTCAGTTGACAGGGACAAGTTCTTAAAAATCAAAAAGTCAATCTACTAAAAATATGCAAAACAAAAGGAAATGCAATTCACCTGAGCTCCCAAGAATATTGTATCTTTTTAGGCATGGTAAAATCATTAAAAGTGGTGGGATGATAAATTTAAACCAGGTGGTATTGAAAAAACTAAGCATGTACCACTAAACAGAAAACTGTCTTGTTAAAGCCTTATATTAGCTTAACTTATGAATACAGAATAATGTCCAAGACTTTTCAAGAAAGTTGCTTTTATAACCAATCTACTAATCATGTCTAAACAGTCCCTGTAAGGTATATCAAGACTGGAAACAAAACTATTCCATTTTCATACTCTTGTAATTGCATGTCTGTCTGGACCTTGAAGGCACAGGGAGACAATGACCACTTTTACTCAGTGCAGAAAGTGCTAGTCTGACACCCCAGTCCCTAAACACCCCCCCACAAGTGTGTGAGAAGGTGTTAAGTCTAGTAGAGGGGGGGGGGGGGTCACAAAGTCTTGGAGCTAGACTAAGGAAGTGCATGGAAAGCAGATAATCACAATACTCTGAATTATTTCAAATTGTTACTTAAGTGTAACAATTTTTACAGACTTCAAAGACTGACACCAATCAAGTTTATATAGTAAAATGTCCAAGAAAACAACCAATAACTTAAAACAGCATATTCTTTCAAATTCAAAGAACCGATATCTATTTTGTACAAGTGATAATGTAGTGTTTTGATCAATTTCAAAAGTTAAAAGAATATTTTATTCTTAGACTACTAAATTTTCTACGTTTTGTATATCTGGTTCATTTTATTTAATTTGTGGAGCTGGACATCACATACTGTGTTTTAAGGCCAAAATGATATATAACATCATTCAACCACTGTTAATGAAAGTTTTGGCTTTCTCTTTTCTATATTTGCTTATAAGCTATACATATTTCTTGTAAGCATGTAGTTATTAGTTATATATGCATATATTTTATCTAATAATTTTGTTGAAAATGAATCAAACCAAGCTAACACGAATGACCTTTTTACCCCCTCCCTTAACATAATTATATCTTTCTCAAAAATCGAGATATTGATACATCCCCTAAGTTAATCAAAATTATTTTTATTGATAGACAAGTCAAGGTTTTCCCTTTATACATACAACAAGCTAACCTCCAGAATGCTCAACATCAATCAATATTTCAATACAGATTAAAAAAATGTATTCCTGGAGAATTGTTCATATAAGGGAGGTTTTGCCGCTGCCATGTTTAATTACAAGTACACCCTTGTCAGGTATAAACTCTGTTTAGTCGGTTCCAGGTGTTTATGGTCAATTAGCCTAGTAAGGGACTTCAGAAATGTTGATGCCTTTGACAATGACCTCTTGGGATCATATAGGCATAGGCATGCTTAGTGCTAGGTTAGTTGGTAAACATGGACTCTTCAGGCTTTGAATAATATAGACAGTAGATCATTCTCATGACAATAGAGTCAGAAATGAATAACATACCTGATTGAATGAAAGTCTAAGGAAATGACCCCAGTTTGACCTTAGAAATATATCCTATTTCAGGAGACAACCAGTCTAAGTGCATTATACACACAAATAATTGAATTTTTCAACAGAACTAACTGTAAATTACATTGCCTTGGTTACATAAGCCTACTTTCAACTTCATTGTGTTGGCAATACAGTGAGGATGTTACAAAATTGTACTGTACGACCTCATATCTATACCGGAACTTGAGAAAAACAAAAATATCTTACCATCTTTTGTACCAATGAGATCTTTCTTCTTACTGCAGAAGCATTTTTTCAACTTAAGAGCACAGTTTAACAACATGGACAACCTCACCATATTTATTATTCAATTTACTCAACTCCTTCACTACATTTTCACTCAAATATCTAAAAAAATATCACAGTTCTTTTTTACTTGTGTAGGCAGCCATTTTGAATTTCTGTTTTCTGACGTCAGCCAGGGATACACAGCTTGACACCTATAGGCCGACATCTGCCGTTTCCAATAGGCAAATTATAGGGGATTGTTGGCTGTATGCCAGTGTAAGACAGTTAACTTCCCAATGTAATTGTAGACTCTTAAATCTCATAATGATAATATTGTGAGTAAACATGGATTTTTTGAGTACTTTATATATATTGAACAGTACACATTGAACTAACAAATTGAGTTAATCAAATAAAGGGGTTAATAGGGTAAAGATCCAAAAATATTCTAATTTGTCTCCTAGACATACTCTCAAAACATTATTTATCAATGCTGAACTATACAGAAATATCAGACAACTCATCATGACTTGACTTAACTATGGTGCAGAATTCTAGTCTTAAAATTCAAAAACCCTTTCCATGTTTCGAAATGAACAAAATCTACTGAAGTTAAAATTGATTAATAAAAAAAGGTACCTTAGTCTACATTAATCTAAAAATGCACAACTATGTGGTATATACTAAAACTTTGAACAAAGAACAGAGTGGACCTCCCGAATAAGATACACGATTAGAAGATATCTTCAGGATTTTGAGAAATAATCTGTCATGTTCATACTTATAAAAATGAAAAGGAATGAGAAAGAACAAGTCTAAATCATGAAGAACTATATTATGCTTTGATAAACTTTTAATTTGGTCAACCAACCATAATGACGAAGTGAGACTCTTGAGCCTAATCGCAACCCTATCCCATCCTTTCTCCTACCTATATTTACAAATGAAAGTTAGAAACTGCCATTTAAAACCAATAGTCTAAATGCGAGTAGAAATAATCTTGATTTACGTCATTAAAAATTCAGTCAAACTGATATAATATTTGGAATCTACATGTAAAATCACACCTAGAAATGTGGTTTTGAAAAGAGTTTATCAACTTTGAAAATTTTATTTTCTTTGAAAATGTGACTTCTAGGTCGGGGAGATTCCCCATAGACCCGATGTTGTAAAACCACGAAAAGTGAAATATCTTTTCTTGTGTTGGGCAGATAATATTTTCTTTCACTGGACATATTTTAATTTATATAAGTATCACATATATAAGGGTAATGTGAAAAGTGAACCACTAAAACTGATGAATATTCAAATTTAAGGGAATTTTGTAATACCCTGCCATGTTATTTCCCCCGATTCAGCCACCTGGTGGCAAAACTGGTAACTACCTACTCGCATCTGAGTAATTGGCTTCAGACTGTCCAGAGAGATGAGGTAAATATAAAAGAAACAAGTAAAAACAAATAACTTTGCACTAACATGACTTGAATTATCTATGTTTCATAATTTGTAATGATTATCATTAATTACCAAGTCCTCTATAATTCATCAATTATCAATAGACAAATCTAAATTATATTAAAAACAAACCATGTGGTTTGCCAAGATTTTTACAAAGACCCCGTGGCGATGTTGCGAGTCGCTCAATAAGGACAACAAGTTTTTTATTGGCTCCATAGAAAACACATAAGAAAATCAATACAGACATCAGCACAGTGGTTCACACCCTCCATGTTCTTGTGAAAGTGTGATTCAAAGATGGGAGATTTTCACAAAAGTTCTTACGTAGTATAAAGCTTAAAGTCTATTATGTTTTGCTTGTCTTATAAACTCATATGCTTAAAGAATTTCATATACACAGGAATATTTCATCATTGAATTTTTTAAATGAAGATATACATACATTATTTATATCTAAGATATTTGAGAATATGAGTAATAAGGACAATTATAGATTTATATAAAATAGTAATAATAACCTAATAAGGATTACAAGTAAATACAATACAAATCAGATGAAACTATTGTAAAAATAAATTATTTTGAATAAGTAACCTGTCTTTATAAAGCATGCAAAGGGGTTTCCTTAGCTACACAATGGGTATAATCCAAAGACAATTAGGTCGAATGTGATAGATGGAATTATGTAATTCTACCCTTAGGAGAATATCTAATTATAGATGAGATATTATGTAATTGATCATTCTGTACATTGTAAACTCTCATTTAGTATATGATATAGGCGACTATTTATTTAAAAATATGACAGAAAGTACACATGGGCATTCCATACAGACTAACAGACAGACAGACAAATGGTTGAACTGCTCTATATCCTTACCCCAACTTCGTTTAGTGGGATGATAACATCAGAATCTCCAGTTTTATTCACTGGGAACAATAGTGTCATGGGATAAGTTATCATATAATCCAATTATGCATCTCCGAATCTCTTGAGTGACAGACTTTCCTCATCGTCTCAAATAAGCAGAAGTAGCAATGTTAAAAAACTGACAATTATATGCAGAACTTGGAATAGTATAATATTTACCAAAGATGTGGCTTCACGTTGAAGATATATGTAATATCATATGAATTTGACCAATATCATTTTCTTTCATGGGCTATATAAATCAAAAAACAAGGAATGAGCATCATATAAATTTTTTCTGAACAAAAAAGGAACAAAAAAGGTCTTGCCAAGTGACTAGATGTATGGGCCTAAATATAAAAGCCTGAATGCAATTTACCCAAAAACAAAAAACAAAAACTGTTAAAACAAAGGAACAAGGCACATTTTGATCAATATTCATAGATACCTATAAAAAATGGCCACCTTAAAATTTTACCCAGCATGTCCAAAAAATTCATTCTGTAAAGCAATTTGCCTGGAAATGTGAATACAACCAAGGTGAGACATCAATATCATCACTTTTTAGATATGAAATAAAAAAAATGAAAAATACATACCAAGTGATTCATCAGAGAGATCTCCTAAAGATGGCACTTTCCGCATGTTGTTGCCCCCTGTTGGCACGATACTGTCACCTTCGTCACTTGAGCTGGAGATCATCCGGGTTAGACAGAGGGCGCCATCACTATCTGTGGAGTAGCTGGGACTCGGAAACATCTCATCTGGTTGCTGAAATTATGAAATAATTTTGGTTCGATGTTTTATAATATTTTTTTTATTTCATATCCATTAACACAATATGATGAAGTGTTATTTCAAGATTACACAATGCAATAGAGATAGATAACACAATCCTTATACACTGGTGATCCGCTTGATTACGCTGGTTACCGAAACGGGTCATTTCGGTAACAAAATATCGGAATGTCAAAGGTACGATTTTTCTTTTTTCCTTATTTCATGCGTCGTAGGCAGAATCCCAACGACATGTTTTCACACTAACATTTATCAGTATCATCTGTTTCAGAAAATGTAAATGTTTGCGAAAAAATAGCTCAGAAGACAACAGAATCGTCGATTTAATTCCTCACTCAAGTTACATAAACGGTAGGGGTAAAAGTGCAGATCTTAACTGTTTTTCGAAATATCGTTTATGTAACTTAAGTGAGGAATTAAATCGACGATTCCGTCGTCTTATGAACTATTTGTTCGCAAATGTGTACATTTTCTTAAACATATGATACTGATACACGTTTGTGATAAAAATGTCGTGGGAATTCTACCTACAACGTGTGAAATAAGGAAAAAAGAAAAATCATACCTTCGAATTTCAAACATTTTGTTACCGAAACGGTTCCAGAGTAATCGAGAGTGTTATACAGATACATGTATAAAAAAACAGGAGGCAATTTCACCATGTATCATAAAAGATACATTTGATATTTTTACCTCAAACCTTATCTGAACATCTTATTTTAACCTATCCTTTCAAGTTACATAAAATATCAGTTTAGATTTCTGCTGTCATGGACAATTTTGAGTCATACCATTTAACCACAATTTTTGATATTACCTCTATTCATTTCTCATTAGTGAATAGTGAAGCTCCTTATATATCTGAAACTGAGCAATTTAGCTCAATTTCTAATAAACAGACTCATTGTCCATCTTATTTGAGATAATATTTCACCATGATTTGTAGTTGCAAATCATCAACAATACTGTGAAAATAGAAATGAAGCAAAATTTCAGTTTCTATTTAACGAGACAAGCGTACATAATATTTTCATTATATGAGACAATAATAAAATATTTCCATGAAAAGACTATAAAACTTTCTCTAAAATTGGTCAACTTAAATGTTTTCATAAAACAGCTTATAATTTTCCAGCTTGAGAATGAATGAACCCAGGTGATTATGATTTGATTTTCTATATGTACAGACGTATCGACAAGTGGGTGATTGCAATAGCTCACTAATAACTAGCTACAAATATGAGCAAAAACTTAAACCTCCATATCAATGACTAATGTCAGACAAGAATAAATACAGTTGACTAATGTATTACGTATAAATCCCATATGACAATATATCATCTTCGGCTTCTTACTTGCTAGAATTTAACATACAAGGTTGAGATAACCAAACATTCATTATTACTGTAAGAAGGATCTACGGATTGTTTAGAAGAAAGGGCATACCCAATCAATCATTCGAACACTATATATAAATCCATATTATATACAACATAATTAACTTCTCATATACATGAATGATGTATATATTAAATGCAAATCTAATAAAACAAATAGCAATTCACAGTTATTTAGATACCATCGCATGAAAATCTATGCAATTTAGTAAGTCGAGATGAATAAAAGAAAAAAGCTGATAGGTTAAAAATACTCAAAGAAATGTATACATTTGATATAAATTCTAGAGAAATATTACTGAATTGGAAAAGTACATCAATTAACTATATAGTACTTATTATTATTCAATCACCATTAAGACTAGGATGGCCATCAGCCAACTATTTAACACATGTGACACTTGTATAAGGTTCTAACACATCAGCTGACACTGATGCCTACTAGCATGGCCATTTAAACTAAGGGTAAAACCCTGAAAAATATGACAAAATTGTGAACTTTTCATGAAATACACTTGTGTTTCTTTTTTATTTCAAACATATGGGAACTAGACCGTCAGCATAAAATATATTATGTCAATGTTTATTCTATTACTTCTACCATTTAATTTTCAATCTTAACTTACCAAAATTCATTGTTCCACCTATGGTTTAACAGTTCGATAATTATGAAATTTGCAAACATAGATTACTTTAAAAAGTTGCTAGCCATTTGCAGCTTATTACAAACTTAAGAGTAAATCTAGAAGTTTGAAAATAAAATGATTAAAAATGAAAGAAATAAACCTTTGTCCCAAGTCCAACATGACATTAGACACACAACTTTCATTCAATATCAAAAATATTATTTTAATACATGTACTTATTAAGTTATGAGCCATTTATCTCTTTTCATTATTACCTTTATTATCTATTCACTGATGTGTGAATATCCATGTAACTTTCACTTCTATAAAATAGGTAATATGTTGTAAAATGATCAAACTTTAAAAAACAGCATTTCTCCAAAGTAGCAAATCCTGCCAAATCTTTTTTACGTCATATATCACTTTAACATTTCAAGTCAGTAATATACCATACGATAGCATGAACTACAATCAAGATATAGAACTCATTCAGATATGAACTAAATCCGTTGAGAGGTATTAAAGTTATACTCCAAAATGATTAATTCAAAAGAAATGGCAGCTACTTTTAAGTGAGCTATTTTGAAAATAATGCCAGGTAGACTTTCTTTATATAAAAAGGATCATACCACAAAATATGAACTACTACAATTAACTTCTTCAATATTAAAGTTAAAATTCAGAAACACCAAGTTTCTTACAAAAACAACCATCTTGTTTTAAATTCAGAGGCCTTCTTAGTATCAACAAATTCAAACAAGCGCAGCAGAATTCAACCTTGAGACAATTTTTGAAAGATTTAAGACCATTTCGAAACTTCCTACTTGAGCAAATGTACACTTCGGCCTATGAAACATTGACTAGATCAGTCTTTGCAAGACTATCCACTGGTGGGGAGGGTGTATGGGGCAAGGACCCAGTTCCCCAAGGATGGGCCTAGAAAAAAGGCCCAATTTAGTGAGCCTTTTTTTTATCAAATTTATGCCAAATAATCAAGAAAATGGGCCTTAAATGTTCAAAAGTGATGATTTTTGTGATTTGTCAACAGACAGTCAATAATTTTAACAGGTTACCGATTAATCTTGCTTATTTTTCAAACTAACAACTCAATTATACAAACCTCCATTTATTGAGTTTTAAAGTTATATTGCTGCAGTCTGTTCAGGGGTATAACCTGAACAGTTGACCTGTGGAGGAGTCAATAATTATGCTTTCTAAACAATGGTGTTAAGCTTGCCATATGCATTATAAATTCAAAGCGAAGAGACTATATTATAAGTATGTACAGTGATCTCCATAAGATTTTTTCTCAAGTGGGTGCAAAATTCTCTTTTTCACAATTCAGACCAAAATTGGTCAGAATATGCCTATTTTCATGATTTTTCTCAATTTCAAGTGGGTGCAAATGGATTTTCAGATGGGTGCAAGTCTATTTTCATATTCTCAGGTGGGTGCTGCGCCAACTTGCTTTGATGCTGGGGATATCACTGATATATATTTCTATTTATTTCACTCTCCAAATAAACAGCCATACTCCTCCCCATTTCATCATGGCCGCAGCAATCGAGCATGGAGACTGAATACACAAGACTTATTCCAATGCCTCACTTGCTCTAATCAATACAGGTAAACTAATTACCCTAAGAGGCAGTCTAATTATGACAATCAGTACAAGTGAAAATCACAGGAAGCACAATTTCTTGATAACACTATGAATGGAAGAAAACTAAACACTCTAGCTAATTATCGCTAATTAGGGCACCTAGATAATTCCACACTTCCTATGGGATGTTGTCAATTTACTTAAAATATTTCAGCTTTCATTGATCAAACTCAATATTGACCTTACCGGAAAAATAAATATAAATTAGTAATACTAACAATATAACTACACATAAAGTGTGAACATGTGGATAATCATTAAAGGGATAATAAAAAGACAATCAATACCTTGTATTGCTATTAAGAGCATATAAAATATGATCATTTTCTATATTCCCAGGTCTGTATACTTATTAAAGTACAACTGAAATGGCAGGTCAGCTTTTATATTGTGATGAATGAGGCATATAGATTTTCATTTCCCAGGGTTAACCTCTCTATTGTTATGTGCATTAATTGCAAACGACTCTTGAAAAAATATGTTGAAATAGCACAATTTCTTTATCATTTTGGCTTGGCTTTACATAAACTGAAAACAATTGCTTGATAATGTCAAGTTTGCATATTAACATCCAAAAAGTGCATATATTTTATTTTCTGCATTTTGATTATTCTTTAAATTCTATAGTCTTGCATCAGGCCCCATCCCAATCTGTCCTCTACAAGTAGCCAAAGTGAATAGGATGAGTTGGAGCAGGGTCTTGATTCACTCCTAGTATTGTATTGTATTGTATTTTGTTTACCACCAATGAAGGTGAGCAATACCTCTTGGGTATGTCACGTATATATACGGTCGTAATTTACGTAATTAACATAGAAGATAGACCCAGAAACCCCTCCTTGAAGGAGCCCTGTGTTCTTTTATGTGCACTTATACATAGACATACAAGTACACACCACAGCCTTTTGTACGAGTTGCGGACCACTCAGTCAAACACCCTGAAGTACTTCACGCAAACAAGCAAATTTAGTCTTGCCTGAACCGGGGATCGAATCTGGGACCTATTGCGTAAGAGGTACCTGCGCTTCCGCTGAGCTACATGGGTGGACATAGTGCAATTACCCAAATGCGAGTAGGTAGTTACCAGTTTCACCACCAGGTGGCTGATTCGGGTCAATTAACATGGCAGGTATATAAGTAAGTTCCCTTAAACTTGAATATTATCAATTTAAGTGGCTCAATTTTCATATAACCCTTATGTGTCTGATACTTATACTCATGAAAATATGTCCAGGAAAGCAAAATATTATCTGTCCACTAAAAGAAAAGATATTTCATTTTTTGTAATTTTATAGCATGGGGTCTATGGGGAATCTCCCCGAGCTAGAAGTCACATTTTCAAAGAAAATTAATTTTTCAAAGTTGATAAACAATTTTTAAAACCACATCTCTAGATGTAATTTTACATGTAAATTTCAAATATGATATTACTTTGACTGAATTTTGAATTTTTAATGACGTAAATCAAGATTATTTCTACTCGCATCTGGGTTATTGCTACTTTTACATATTCAGTCTTAATCCATTCAACATACAAACTTTTATGACCATCATAATAAATATAACACCAATTGCAAAACGAATGCAATGCAGGTCACTCTAATAAACTCAAAAATAGGTTAATGCAATAACTTGGAGCAGGAAAAATCCCTAGATGTATCTGTCTCTCCCAAATTAATTTGCAGTTAATGTGTTTTACAATAATTTTCTGTCATTTGGAGAATATATTAGAACATTTAAACCTGAAATGGCAACAAAAATCTCATGCCCTTCTATTAACAGGGACCTTGTACAAGATTTCTATGTTAACAAAACTAAGAAGTTTCTCTTATCATAACAAACATCTTGTGAATGAATAAATGTATTGTATCAACAGTGTAAAATAATTTAGCATTCATTATCTATTGCCTTAATTACCTTTTAATACAACACCATGTATTTCTAATATGATTCAAAATGAGGCATAAAAATCAGAGATAATAGAGTTTGTCCAATAAATCTATTAATGCTGTGTATATCTGTCTGAAGTGAGAGCTTTTGTTCTACAACATTACAATGGCACACTCTTTGTTTACAGGCTATCACAAATCTACATGAGTTGAGGCTAAAGAAATTAAAAACATTGTTAAATATGATTATTTGAAATTATTACTCGGAAGAAAAATTAGACATAACATTAGAACATGGCTAATTATATATAAATAATACATTATGGTAAATTTGCTCAAATCGTGGTTTATTCTTTTCTATGCACAAGGATATTTTAACCATATGACTTATATTCCCTGGCCTTATCATTACAAGCCTGGAGGCAATTGATCACTTGTATATTCACAATTAAACCTTGATGTATGTGGGGTAATTAAAATTTCACCATTTATTCATCATGCTCATTATTATGGTATCAAGTCATACATAAATATTCTCTGATGGTTTCGGTTTTATAAAATAATACCTTGGTTACATTGCTCTATTTGTCAGGAAAACCACAAGAACATTATCTTAAACCATTGTAGGATTCTTGATTGCATTGACTTTTTAAAATACCTAAGATGGACTAAAGAGTTGCATAATTTCGAAATGCAAGTTTAAAATATCAAATTCATAGAAGACATTTGGGGATTTTGTATCGAATTTATTTAAAACCAGCCAAGAAATCAATCAGTTAGGAGTCTTTGACAGTAAAAGTAATGACTCAAATTTGGATTCTCAATTTTCAACTGACGTAATTCATATTGTAGAGGTTCACCATTGACATTTGGAATTTGACTGGTTTGCATGGAAAAATATTTGGAACCAGAATTTAATAAATGTTCAGCCTAACTCAACTGTTTCGCATTCTAAAATATTCTCAGAAAAATAAGGGCATACTAATACATCATTCCATCAACCCAACCATCAACTACCAGGATTTCAAATAACGTAATATAGTTATTGACCTTTAAACAACTAAGCACCACATATAATAAGAAAGGATTAAAGATGATGATCTTACAGTCAAAACCAGGGATTTTAGGCTTTAGCTAATTTTATCTTCAAGTATTATATAATGGATACTGCAGACAATGAATCTAATAATGACTTATAATTCGAAAGATAATAGCAACATTAGATGGCTTAATGGTTTACACAACATTCTGAAGTTAGCCAGAAAATCCATACGAACTTGTTCAATGAACTTCCTCATTTCAGGCGATTTCCAAAATATCATCTTTCATATCTACTTTATTTGATTCAGTAGTGAGACTGTCATATAGAAGCTGATTATGTTATTAAGAAAACATGTATAGTAGATCATTGAGGCAGTGCAAGTTGCGGGAGTCGAACATTTTGTCTAATATTTTGTCCAATATCATTAATTTGATGTGATGGTACAATTGCCAATTAGGAAAAAATTGCAAAGGTCGAAACAATGGCTGACGTTGACGGGTTTGGAAGCATAAGCTTCAGGTACAAATATTAAGTGGTCTGGTCCCACATTCAATTCACATTTCACAATCTAAGAGAATGTCTCCTAAAAACTTTATAGGAAAATCGCCTACATCCTGTCACTAATGAAACCCCAGGGTTTGATTTCATTCTAAGATTGAAATAACATAAACAACAATATAAAAAAAATATAAAATATAGTTTAACAAAATGTGCACCTAAAACTTGCTAGTTGGTTCAATTAATATCTACATGCGTAAACAAACCTGAGTATTTGCTCATGCTTTACCTTATTGCGATATGAACAAACTTTCTCCTACTGGATTTGGTTCATTCAGATATATTTTATACAGTTGAAATGCTTCACTCATATTTATGCCAGGACTTAATTTTACAAATGTACTAATTGCAATACTTTGACCGCTCAATGTGAACAGAAGCAACTATTGTCACTCCATTATAAGATTTACTGCTTTCTAATTGTAATCTTTAATCTAGATCTATAAGTTTTATCATCTAGTCTCCAACTCCGTATCAGCGTTGCATTTTTGCTTCGGACATGTCGAATAGATCCTCTTGAAAAACTGAGTTTTATGTCCTGCATCAAACTTCTATACTCCTTTCCCCCACACTACATGCACTATGTACTTCACAAAGCAGAGCTGTGTTTGACAAATAGTGAGCGGGGGGGGGGGGGGAGGTGGAATAAGTTATTAACAATTTGACAGATAGATCTAGATTGATGCAAGGCTAATTTATTGTGGATTTTTAAGACTTACTCATAAAACCATTGAAAATAACTATTAAACGCCAATATCTTTGCAAAAACTCCATGACTTGAACACTCTAAACACTAAGTTTCTCAAAGTAAATATGAAATGACAGAAGGGGTAATGGTGAAAAAGTAGGTCACCCACCGTTGAAATTCTGAATTTCTTCTTCAGTTTCTTCATGTTAGGCTTCACATCTTGGGACTCAGCGTAAAAGTCAGCCATGTTATCCCAGGTTAGGTTGTCCATGTACTCTAGATCCATGGCCTGGAACACCTAAATAAACAAACCAAACATCCAAAATCAGAATTCAAGTTCAGTGAAAATTGACGGCCATGTTGAAAATTGTGAATTCGACTAGGCAAAAATATACATTATAAAACACGTGAATTGAACATGTATTTCAGCATCATAGATGCTAACAGTTGTCCAGTCGTAAGTTAGAATATTAATTTACTTACTACTTAAGTTGTTACTAGTCCCAGGCTCCAATTAAGGGGAGCAGCACGTCTCGAACTGGCGGATTTTCAGCAACCGTGATTTCTTGATCGTGAAGAGTACCTGTTGCTGAAGTTGAACCTTTGCAGGATATTGCAAGCCTTTTGACGACTACACAATGACATTCGTGACACCTTGCCGTTCTCAGATGTCCACCTTAGCCGTTCAAAAAGTAGAACTTCAATAAATGCACGAAAAGTGCTAAATTTCGATGAGAAAGTTGCCTTGCTCGTTCGTTTCAAATTTACTTTTCCATTTACCTAGACCTTGATTGAGAAATTCAGAACGAGGCTAATTATTATTCATGAAAGCATATGTTTCTAATTGGTCAATATTGAAGGATTATAGTAAATGGGCGGGGTCTATGTCTTAATTGACATTATTTCGCTTAGGGTTTTCATTCGATTTTGCAAGGTTCTCTTAAATTCTTGAACAAACTCTGGAATTATATCAAAGAAAGAATCACATTGTATCGATTTGCTAGTAAATACCGAAATGTAATGCACAAGGTTTCAATAAAAACTATTGATAGTTTTTATGAATGGTACGATCGATTTTCCATATAAGGTCAAATTGGCTAATTTATTTATGGTATTGCCCAATGAAAAGCAATACTTTTAATCCTATACTGACAGCACGGGTGGCGGTAAGTTCAAATTTAAAAGTTTTAAACATGTCAACCCAAGGTTGCCTGTTGCATACGGTAACTATCGAAAATACGTTTCAAGAAACCGGATATAACAAAACATGAAATCAATCTATTTTTCGTATATTTTCAAGTAAAACTTCACTGTTTTCTAGCCTTTATTAGGCTTTTAGGTTTTAGAGTTAGACTATATGTCTTTGATTAGGCGAAAACAGGTGACACTTTCACACTTCCCATGATCCCATCGATACCAGGATACGGGACAAAAACAGTCCAGTAGCATCATCATTATTTTATGTACACTCCCCTCCATAAGTTTGGCAACCTTTTTCCCCATTGAACTATGTGTTAAAGCCTCTTTATGTTTGAATTTTTATTTACTTAACCGGCGATGAAATAACTTATAATATTGACGGAAACGTAACTTGACTTTATTTCCAATACCTCCAAATTTTCTCAATTTTTTTTCTCAATTACAATAGGTCGGAAATTGATGATAAATTTGATGAATTTTTGAAAATCGTCATTCTCATGTAATCCAATGGGAAATGGAGGGTTCGGGGCAAATCAGAAATCAGGATATCTTTTCAGTAAAAGATTCAGCAAAAAATATTTTTATATAGAAAATTGAATTGTCTAACTTTTTTGAACACTGAGTGTTTAGTTTATTTGATGAATATTAAAGTTACAGCGCTTCAAAGTCATTTTTGAAAATCATTTTTCGCCTCCTGTGTTATTTCAATGGGAGAGGCTTTTTGAAAAACAATTTTGACTTTAAAGCCCTATAACTTTGTTGAACCTGAAGAAACATATCAATTTTCTGTTAAATAAAGTTAGCAAATTCAATTGCCTGCCTAACTTGTATTTTTTGCAAGGACTCGGATGGATGGATATTCTGTCATATGACTTGCAGCAAACCTCCATTTCCCATTGGTTAACATGGGAATGACGATTTTCAAAAATTCATCAAATTTATCATCAATTTTCGACCTACTGTTATTGAGGAAAAAAATTGAGAAAATTTTGAGGTATTGGAATTAAAGTCAAATTACGTTTCCAACAATAGTATAAGTATTTTCATCGCAGGTTAAGCAAATAAAAATTCAAAGGTAAAGAGGCTTTAACACGTAGTTCAATGGGGGAAAAAAGGTTGCCAAACTTATGGAGGGGAGTGTATGCTATAAAATTCATTGTCGTGTATAATAATCTAGCAAAAAATTGTAGGGCCTCATTGCAAAAATGCGCCTTTTTGGGCCAATATATGAAAAACTGGGCCATAATTATTCAAAATTTTGGGGGAATTTTTTTCCAGACTCAAACTTTGGGCCCCTTGTTAATTGCTGGATCCACCACTGCCCCCCCCCCCCCCTCCGTCCCTTCCGTTCCATTCTTTTCAATTAAATAATTCATGGAAACTATAAAGTCAGCAATGGCATTACTTTTATTATGATAACAGGTCATACAAACCATTGTTGCTTGATTTATACCAAAAACATTGACGTGTGCACGTTGGTGGCCTTGCGTCTTACTATACCGTGCGCCCATTCAGCAATTCAATAAATTGCAAAATAAAAAATAAATCTTCCAGGTTTGTTAAATTTTCTAGCAAAAAAGCCTACTTTCCCCCATTCGTCCAATTTTCCAAACCCGGCGTGAATATACTTTTGAAATGTTAAATTTTTTCAGAAAAACTCATCCGTGCACATACAAAGGTACTCGTATATCTAAAATGTGGGATTAACCAAACATTTCAAAATTCAAATATTTTGATTTTTTACAAATATATAAATCTTGAAGACACCGTAATGCCAAAAAACCTTCCAATGAAGGGAGGAATTCCGAATTTAAATTTATTTCTTGGACGAGTTTCCCAATAATCGCATACAGGTAGCGCACGATCTCTAGTTATCTCTTCATCAAGCATCATAACTGCATGGTATTGCTCGTGCAGTGTGTATTTGCCTTGTGTTTTGTGTTTATGTAGACGTTATTGCAAGTTTTCGCCTTTAAGAATATTAGATGGATTCCTGCCAATGTGTAACAATCAATTGAGGGTTTCCCCGATATACTCGGAACAGTGTGAGGGTATTGGGGGGGGGGGGGGGTAATGAAACACAAACGTTCACAGACGACCAAGTGAAACTACACCTATTTATTCTATTTGAATGAAGTGAAGTTTTTCGCAGAGAATTGATCTTCCGGTTATCGCCAACGAAAACGCACTCCTGTAGATTGGGATATTTTTTTACCATTTGGGGGTTTGATTCATCTGAGAATGTTTTGAGAAGCAAATTCTGATACCAGAATATCGGTACCATGTTTACCGATCCCCATCCGTTTAGGGGCTAGGAGCATTGCCGGGGGAATTGTTAGGGGTATCGTTTTTTTCAACTCACACTTTGGGCTTTTGTTTTCGCCAAACATCGATGTGTCATTGAGTTAAAGTGAAAGTAAGGTCGTTTTTAGTGAATCAAATACTATTTCCATTACAATTAAAAGCACTGACTTCAGACAAAAATAATTTATAGTTATCACATACTGTTAATAATTAATGGCATGCCATATCACTGGTGTATCATATCATATTATACGATATTAAATATTTTATTATACATCAATATCATCTATTATATTCAATATTGTAAGTGTGTGGTTTGTATACACCTTGTATAACGATTATACAGTATATATTATAAGAATCTTTTTGGGTTCCATATCTTGTATTTCCAGGTATGCCTATCACTCAACCACAGAATATAATTAACTTATTTACAATTTACACTATACTACAGTACAAGGCAGCAATCGGGACACATCAAAATAAAAGGCATGGGCGAAGTCAGGCACAATACAGAGGAGGCAAGTTGCCTCACCAGTGCAACAATTTACAGAAATATACATGGTGTCCATAACGTCTCTTTACGATTACAATACAAAATCTGTGTAAAGTATAAAGCGACTTTATGGCCACTTTATTTTTAGACGTTAGGAACTAAAACCGTTGTATGTTGAAACAGGGACCTGAAGAAAGTCCAAAGATAGTTATATAAAGCCATCTGCCTCGTCCTCTATATTATACTTTCAGCTCCTAATTTCAAATCCTGGCGACAACCTTGTAAGGGTTATCTGCCTTCACCAGATAAACAACCACCATTTTGAAATTTCAGAACAAAAACACTGTAATATTGTTTTATTTTGATTCATCAGTCATTCATTTATGGAACTCATTCAATAATTGTTGGTTCTCGTGTTGATCAGCAGTCACTGGGCTATACCAAACTTTCGGAAGGGAAATGTGGTCGTAGTCCAGATAAATAATAAAAAGTAAAGTTTTAAGCGTTCATCGTTTATCAATACTGAGACGAGGAAGGGTAAATCCTGGGTGGTTTCCATCGCTGTATGGGTCGCTGAAGTTCGATTTAACTTCCATGGCATCTTGCCTGTAGTATTGTCTGGAAAATATAGGAACAACATGGTCATTGACATTGACGAAAGGTTAAGCTATACGTTTTTGAAGAGAACTTTTACGTGAACGTGTAGAATTATTGTCATCTACGGATTAGTTCGCCATTTGTAGTTTTCCCTTGTTCGATTGAGTATACCAGACATTATCTCTGAATTGTATACGTTCACGATTCTCTTAAAAACGTGTAGGTCAACTTCCATAGTATCATATTTCAAACCACTGGGCCTTGTAGTTGTAGGGAGTCTGATTTTGGGGAGGTTAAGATACACGTTTGTAAAACTTGTACGTAAACGTGTAGCATTATGGTCCTCTATGGATTTGTTCATCCATTTGTACCATTTACTGCAGATTTAGTATAAAGGTATATGGAAATAATTGTAAGTTAGATCCTTGGAAAAGTGTTGAGAGAGGGGCAGTTATCCCGGGGGTCGAAATATTACACGCTCGGTACAGGTTCTCTTAAAATGTGTAACCCCCTATTAACCACGAGTCAAACTTAAAACCACAACATCATCACTTTCGAAATCATTTAGCCTATCTCGGCAATACCCAGAACATTAGTTGACGCTTCAACACAATATACGAATAGAAACAATATACAGATGAGTTATAAATATAGCGTGGATCATTTGGATGAACAATGTCATGCATTTCTAGTCTTCAAATGCTGGTTGCAACGGGAAATGATACCGATGGATATCAGAATGCGTGATGCCGTTCCTTCTGCAAGCGGACACCTTGTTCGTTATTGATGTTATTCTACGCCTGAAGCAAATGAGGATAGTTTTGCGAGGCTTTATATAGATGGTGTTATGGGTAAGGTCTACTGGGGATACTTTGAGTCAATGATGATCAGCTATGGGGCTAATAGATTAGATACAATGTTATGAGTGGCATTTTCAATCCATAATTGATGGTGCAGAGTTGATCCTGGAAATCAACATTTGTGCGGGGAAAAATTGGGGACTTTGAGGCAATCATCTTGGGTTATATTTTCAGGTGTAAAAGGGTAGGAGGTCCTATCAAATTATGGTCCTACTCTCCATTGATTTATATGGTGACCTAAATACAACACTTTCCCTCATTATTTTATATGCAATCAGGGCCAGTAAGGGCCGTTAAAAAAGGGGACCATAATCCCTGGGGACCATCATTTCTTTCACACCGGTTAATGTGGGAATGGGCAATTTTTGGGCACGTCTAGGGCAAGGAGGCGGGCCCCTGGCCACCTATGTCTACCACTTTTTTGAGCTCTCACATAGCACTTATTACCACTAATACACTACGATCCAAGGGGTTCAGGTTAAATCTGTAAATTGCCTTGAAAAGGATAAATACGAGATTAAAGGGATGGGTCTAAGGGGTAAGGATAGAAATGGGGTGTCGGAATTAAACTGAAGAACCACACCCAACCGTTGTGTCCCATCATCCTAAATTACCTGCAAACTTACTGCTTTATTGTGATGTATATCTCCTACAAAGAATGTAAAATATTTATGGTCACTTCTTCATCTCATTTGTGTATTATATTTCTGGAATGCGAATTTGGGCTCAGTTTGGAGTTCATTTCAAAGGGTTCACTTCAAACTGAGTTGCAGTGAGACTAAGAAGAAAAACAAGACCACTTCTGAACAGCACGCTTAAAGCGTATGGGCATCACAGGAGAATAGTCGTCTATCTTTCATGATTAGTACAGCTAACATTTTGAAATATTTGCAAGCCTGTGGGACAAAAGTTTAATAAAACATGTTATTTGTATTTTTAAACAATTTACTAGAAATATATGCCAGCAATATACACGTACAGTTACATAAACAATAAGAAACGTGATGCTGAAAACTATATTTTACCTCAACATCTTTTCCCTTCGTTTGTTCTCACACCATTTGACACACACGAGAATGATGAGTATGAAGACCAAGAGAGTTAGTATCCCTGCCCATATGAGGAGGCCGAAAACAAGGTCACCACTCATGATGTTGCCCAATGCACCTAAAACACGAACAATGCATCAATATTCCATACCCATTGGAGTTCTAGGTATATGACGTGCGAGACTATATAGTGCATCTTTGGAGCGGGGTCGATATTCTGTAATCTGTATCCGCTCATCTTCGCACGCTCGGTCTTCACTGCGTTCATCGACCGACGGGAGCCGAGTGAACGAAGATGGTATCCGCTCCCATTTTACAAAAATGTTTACGAATCTTTCAATTAGTTATTTTGTAAAGAAATCATTCAAGTTTTGAGTTTACATTTTTTTTAAATCAATGTTACAAAATTCAAACTTTTGAAAATTTTGGAACTCGAGAGGTAGAATGTAGCCAAAAGCTTAATAAGCGTGGAATACACCTGTTATGTGCAATCGGTTTTGAATACATGGTTTATCCCTCACAGAGATATGTGTTATCTCCCTCGATCCCTGCGGTTCCGCCATAAAAAGTTACATTAACCAAGACAAGAATTTGAGACTCTTTGTGACGTGAATCAGTAAATCATTTTTCAACGTGTGCCAGAGACCAAACACTATTTCCTGGCCAATCCCAACACGGATCTTCAAGAACTCCCTTAAGGAGGGTTGAAAAGGTAAAATGACGAATATAACCATCTTCTTCCCTTTGTAATTTCTCACGGCAATGAGCAACAAGTCAATATTATTATCTCAGGTGTTTTATAAGAATAATGTTATCTCCGTGTTTCTTTTATTTTCAGCTTTAACATACTGAGGTGCCATAGACCTTTTGATCGCAAAAGCATTTTAAAAAATGTTTTTATTGTCAAAACCGATTTGATACATCGCTGGCATTCGCATTAAAGCCCACAAACAATTGAAGTAGTCCAATTAACCAACTATGCGAAAGATAAAACGTTCCCAAATTGATGCATCTTCAAATAATGAAAATACAAAGAGATCGACTTCCCCACTAAAATTTCAATGGAAAGCGAAGTTCACTTATAAGTATAAGATTACGCTCGATTACACGGGTACAAAATGTCGGATACTCGAAGGTACGATTTTTCTTTTTTTCCTTATTTCGTGTAGGCAATCGTATCTTCGAGGTTTGGACACTATGCTAAATGAATTCAAGTTAACTCCAAGGGTGAGGAACTATTTGATACAAACCTGCTTGCCCACCTGTGGTGGAACCACCGTTCTCAAGACAAAGACGAGAACCGATAGTGTTTGCGCATGTCTGGGTTCCACTACAACCACCATTGCCGCTGCTACATTCGTTGAAATCTGAAGAAACGGAAGTCATAATTCGATGATTTTATTCCACAAATAATCATATCAGCCGTGGCAGTCGACACCAGTAGAAATATTTGATATCAAACAGCACCGACAAAATTAATGCCAAAACTAGGCGGAAAGGGCTTCTTTGTCGATTAAGTATTATACGAGGGACGTTCAAAAAGTCATGAAATATGAAGTATAAAAGTTGAGGATTGACTTATCGTTATCATATACCAAAAGAACAACAAAATGCTCAATATCGTTGGGTGGGTGAAATGGTTGTTATAGTAACCTTATATAATGCAGTAAACATAAATGTTCAATCAACACCAACATCATAATAAGAAACTAACTTACCATTACAACTGAGCTTGTTGTTAGCTAACCTAAATGCATCGCTACAAGAGCACTGGAAACTCCCAACAGTGTTTGTGCATGTCTGTTCGCATCCTCCATTATCTGAAGCACACTCGTCTATATCTGAACAAGTGAGTCCATTTGAGTCTAGCTTCCACCCAGGGTCACACTCACAATGATAACTTCCGAATGTATTGATGCAGGTCTGTCGACAGAGACCATTGTTTACTTCACATTCATCTGTATCTATAATATAGAAGTAAGATGCAACGCTTCAGATTAAAAGAGTAGACTATTATCATCTATAGGGCATACCACTACATCTGATTTTTCAAACAGAAGAGGTCGTAGGTCATAAGGCCATTAAATATCCACAGCTTGCAATTACCCAAATGCGAGTAAGTAGTTACCAGTTTCACCACCAGGTGGCTGATTCGGGTCAATTAATATGGCAGGTATATAAGAAAGTTCCCCTAATCTTGAATATTATCAATTTAAGTGGCTCAATTTTCATATAACCCTTATGCGTCTGATACTTATACTAATGAAAATATGTCCAGTAAAGCAAAATATTATCTGTCCACTAAAAGAAAAGATATTTCATTTTTTGTGATTTTATAGCATGGGGTCTATGGGGAATCTCCCCGAGCTAGAAGACACATTTTCAAAGAAAATTAATTTTTCAAAGTTGATAAACACCTTTTTAAAACCTCATTTCTAAATGTAATTTTAGATGTAGATTTCAAATATGATATTACTTTGACTGAATTTTGAATTTTTAATGACGTAAATCAAGATTATTTCTCAGGGTTATTGTCTACTGTACCCCTGTTACATTAAGGGATGGATCATGGAGCCAGTATTTGGTATTTATAACTTGAGGGAGGGATATACATTCTCTCATGAAAGTATTCCCAGACTGAATAAAAAACCTAAATTTATGTAATCTAATTTAAATCGTACTCAAAAGGAAAGTCTACTTCCATGCCAAAAGATAACGATAATAGGTGATAATAGGTTGTAATCGGTTATAATGATTAATTCTAGAGAAACATACCATATGCACCAGGTCCAAGTGGACCAGGTTCTCCTTTCGAACCTTGAGGACCAACGTCACCCTTGAGTCCTGCTGCTCCTGGGTCACCCGGCTCACCAGAATCACCTTTGATACCCTTTGCACCCGTATCTCCATCAGCACCTTTAACGCCTATGTGAACAAAACATTGATAAAGTTAACCTCTTGTTCAGTTGGACCATGTGAACGCCAAAACATTGAAATATCTACCAAGCAAAACTGTAAGCAATACCAGTTCTAAACCGGTATGTAATTTAGAAACTGATCAGGTTTGTGAAAATTAGTTATCGTGAGTGTTCCATTAGTCCACCTTCATTTTAATACCCGACGTCCCATAGATTAAACTATGTATCAAATCTTGAGAAGGGACAAGTGAAATATGTATCACGCCTTCAAATTGCAGTGGACTTCTGATGATTACTGACATAAACCCCGTGCATATATAGCTAACCTGGTTCTCCTGTTTCTCCTCGTTCACCAAGTGAACCTTTCTCCCCCTTGGGGCCAGTATCGCCAGGAGATCCAGGTGGACCACTATCAGCTCCAGCCTCTCCTTTAGGCCCTTGAATCCCTTGTGGTCCCTGAGCACCGGGATCGCCCTTCTGGCCAGGATCACCGGGGGTCCCAGCTTCACCTTTCTCGCCTGACGGTCCTTGGTCTCCGCGTGCCCCTTGGTCTCCTTTTGAACCAGGTTGACCCGTTTCACCCTTTAGGCCCTTTAGTATAATCATAGAAATCGAGGTCAGATTGTTTTCAACATAGACTGCATTTAATACAACACTATTTTGTCAATCCACGAAAAACACAGCAGTGAAGTCTCATAAAATAATTTTGGTTATTTGTCATGACATTATCATGTTTTTATTAGATTGTTTTTAGTTCGTGCCACGTTTTTCTAGATTTTCTAGATTTTGATTCAAATCTCATTGAACTCCATTCTTACTTTGGAATTTCCAAACATTTCAAAACACTAAGTGAGGTTCTAGAAAATGTTTTTGGCCCAATTTTCTCTGGGCCCATACACCCTTTTGAATTTAAAAAGGCAAATAGTCATATTATACTTGAGTGATTTTTCAAACTACATTATTTACAGAAAATAATTTCATATTAAATGACCCTGATGCACCTACCGATTCTCCCTTTGTTCCAGGCGTGCCAGTTGGCCCCTTCGCACCAGTTTCTCCCTTTGCTCCAGGCTCTCCGACATCTCCCTTTTCACCCGGGGGACCAATATCTCCAGGAGGTCCAGGTGGACCTTTGAGGGGGTCTTGGGAACCTATTTATTGAGACAAAACTGAAGTAATATATGCCGATTAAATAAATGTTTGGAATCACAAGCGGATTTAAGAAAATTAGATCTTTCAACTCGTTCAGGATAAGCCATAATTTCTACTTTTTGTTTAAATAAAGGACGTCTATCTCAACAGAATTGTCAGGGAAGATGTATTCACACTTACTTGTGTTAACCTGTACTTTAATAGCAAATGCTCGGGAATCAGAGGAGCCAACATTGAATACCACCTCCTGTCCTACCACAGGGACGGTGCCACTGTGTTCAAAGACGCTAGCTATACTCCCCACTTGATCAGGGGCGAATGTATGAGAAATAGCACTTGCTTCGGCGATGTTTGTGAAACCGATCCTATCGCAGTTTGCTACGTAGAAGACGCTATCTGGATCAACCTGAAACGTTAAATTCAAATGATTTGTTAAGCCCTTTACCAATGCATGAGAAATAGTGCGAATGATTAGTCCAATTATATATCCCCCACTTCTATATCGAACTAGAATGTCTGAAACAAGAGCCCAGGGCAAGGATCCCGTCTTCCGCCTCCATTCCATCCATCTTCAAACCTAAACTTAATGCTAAACTTACTGTTAAGTGCCCAGCTGTGGTGATTGCTGGAACAGTTTCGTGTACGAGTCTAAACGACACAGATGATCCTTCTATAGGTCTCCAGATCTGCAATTTCACTCCTGGTGATGTCGATGACGTTGAAAAATCGAATTTTGTAAGTTTCCCAGCTGGCAGAATGTAGTCATCAAGTATAATAGATTTTAACATTCCAAAGCTCAATGCACTCACGCCCCGCTTATTTCCAATGTAATTGTCTGGAAAATAAGTTTGTTTGCTTGTTTGTTTTTTGTTTGTAACTGTATGTATTTTATATATGCATCTGCATGCTTATTTCAGATACTAAAGAAAAAGTTCGAAGCATATAACGACAATACGATCCATCAGCTTAGATCCTGAGGGGCACACGTAATCTCAAATTCTGAATACGGGATAAAGTACCCGACATTGTTAAGGATACTACCATTTCTGTTTTGTCTTACCTGCACCAAGACTGGACGGAGTGCAAATGGTTTGGGCATCAATATCTGAAAAATGAAATTTGATGAGTCGAAATAAGTCGAACTATTTGCTCTTAGTTCATCACTGATCAGTTTAACTTACAGCCACGAGAAATATCTCCTCAGAAGGCATGTCTACATGTATTTATATTAATGAGGACAAGACGATAAAATAAGATTTTCAAAATGTTTCTTGGAATTTTAAAAGGGCTTTCAAGTTACCTGAATAAGGAGCAATTATATAAATATATATTTCTATCGAGGATTTTTATAACCACTCTAAATGTAGAGGGAATGGTATCTCAAAATTAGTATTTTTCTAGGGGCTATGTGCTGGACTGACATATACTTTAGGTTTAAGTGAAGGCATCGGGATGAATGAATGTTAAGCTGATCATGATAGTACTTAAACATCTTTATTAACTACAACGTTCCCTTTCCAAGATGTACTTTTCTATACGAGTTTTTTTTATTTCCGGTATGCAAGTACATGCCAATTCTTGTTATTCGATCAAATTTTACGTTTGTTTGGGCAATATTGGTTAAATGAAGCCCCGTATCTAGAATATATACTTACAAATAAATGTAAGAAAAAGCACTACTCCGGAAAAGATGGCTTGTGAAACCTCCATGTCTCTGAAAAAAAGAAAATTGTTGATAAATCAAATGCACTAAAGTATATATAGTTTACTCACGATGTGATGATACACTGGTTTAACAGAATGGACACACCATAAGTTAGGTCAAATGTATTTTAATTACTAGTATGTAATGTAAGTAGAAAAGTAATAATTAATGTCATCAATCATTGATTTCTAAGAATTATATAAACCATGACATATAAAATGTATCGTAATTATTTGTTGGTTAGAAGGACAGCACATTTGACTTCTCCAATAAAGTTATGATAGAGGTTATTTACCGAGAGGAACTGAATATGGATTTTATACCTAGGGCCAATATGGTATTTCCCGATGTAGAAAATGGACCAAGATATTGAATAATTTAAGTTACAACTTTAATATTACCTTAGAGGATTGACAAATATCTTATGAAATCTAGCAAAAATAGTAAACTAGATATAAATTTTATAAAACTCGTTGATAGTGATAAAGCACTAAATTCTTTTTAACTATATTTTATCTTTTTCTTGTTGAACACCTTTATTAGGCTCTGTTAGCACTTTTGACAAAAAACTGAAGTGATAAATGTTTAAAAATCTTACCTTATGAAAAAATCTTACTGTGCGTCAATGTATAAATCCACAAAATCTACGGTATGAAACTATTTCTTCATATTTTGGTTCGAATTCAGCTTAAAGTTCACATCGTGAGCAATACCTTAAAAATTCACGATCCAGTGGCTATGTGTATTGTGTAGCTTAGAAGGGAGTAGCCACGGTTACGTGCTCAGTAGCGCGTTTCAAAGGTTCAACTATATTAAACCAATGTTATATGAATCACAGTGACCGATAGACCAAGTAAATCAATGTTATATGAGCCTATTTTGTATTTTTGGAAGGCGTACAATTTTAGTTGTCATTAATCACGAGTCCATTGTACAGTATCATTGTGTTTTGTTATTTTCTTGACCAAATATATTTTAGTAATAATCATCGTTACGGGTTCATTCCAGGAAATGTTATGTACGAGTAGGATGTAGAATAGGTGAGGTAAATTTAATAAAACCAAATTCGAAATGCAACATGGACATCCTAGACATACACCCACCATCCATGTTAAATGTTGAACCGTGTAATGTAATACTTCAAACCAACCGTAAGATGGACATTTCCTACGACATCAAAATAATGAAGGATTCGATCGTTAAACTGGACGACCGATTAATACTAGTAATCGGCTCTGGGGGAGAAGCAAATCCCAACGAACACTATTTTCATGAATCTGAATATGTCAAAGTGTAATGTTTACTATCTACTCTTCCATACATTAGAAAGTCCATTTTGAATTTTCTGAGGCGTGATTCAAAGAAACAATACTATTTGTGATATACTCTAAAATTCCTTCAATTTGAGTATAATATAGCCATACTTTGAAGAGATCAGGGAAATATTTTAGGCGGCCATTTGGATTTTACGAGGCTCAAATAAAAAAACATCTACTCTAATTTGCCTTTCATTTGGACTATTAAAGCTATACTTCAGAGATCTCAAAATTCCTGTCTTCGCTAATTGCCACCTCTGACGAGGGTGTCGGGCTGAAAAACACGGAATATATGTGAAACAAATAGATGTTGTGAATATACTACCAAATTTCGAATCATAATATTTGTTACCTTGGTTTAAAATGAAAAACTGAAGATTTTCGCAGAATATTCCCGCCATTTTTAAAGTGGCGGCCATCTTGAAAAAGTCTGACGAAGGGCTTCTCTATATCCATACCGAACTTCGTTCGATGGAATAATACTTATACATTTATTAATAAGATGTTAGGGTAGGCATGGCTTATGCATAATGTAGACTCATTACATATACTTTCAAATTTAGAGGAAAAAATATTTTCATAGGAAAAATGAAATATGACCTTAATTCAATAACTCTTACTTGACCACCTACTCCCCCTAGAAATAAACCCAGATTTGTATTGAACCCAATAGTGTCAGATTTTGGTCCATTTATTCCTGAAAACTTTAAGCCATGGGTAGGAAAGGTATGTTTGCTGAATCTACTCCTTGGAACCTACACAATAAATGCAGGCGTTTGATAACGCAACCGTAGATGTAAATTACGCGCATTCAGACGTAGATCACGCGCGTGAATAAATAGGCTAGATAGCAGTAGTGCGTTCATAATATACACAAATGACATATCATAGAACATATTGACTGCCCCGCCATCTTTTTACCAACATTCTTTCTACAAGCCTCATCCTTTGACTATCCTTGTCCTTGCCTCATGTGTACGTTTATATCACTAACAGTTCAGGCAACTATTGAATTTATTGAAGTCAGTTCTTTGAAAACAGAGAATGAATTATTTTCTACAAACTCATTAAATAATTGCACCTACATTAAAAATCAAGCTAAATACCATCGTTTCATTGTGATCGTTTGTTAGCATGAAAAGAACAGTATTCCCTGGAATAGATTTGAATATTACTACATGATATCTGGTTTATAACAAAATATAGATGCAATACCATAATTATGCAAACACAAGATATAGATTTCTACTGAATTTCTCAAAACAAATGGGTAAATAGCTGCCAACATGAAACTCCATAACATGCGTAATATGTCTGTAATATTACAAATCTGAACAGTGTTCAGTTGATATTACTGTAGAAACAGTGTTAATATCAACCACAAGTGATTCACTTGCTATGGTATGTAGGTCATCATTAACAGCAATAGGTGGGTCCTCTATTACTACAGATGTCTCAATGTTACTAGGATCTACTGGCTCCATATTGTCTGTTGTAGAAGCAACACAATTAGCTTCATGTAGCAGCCTCAGATTGTATGTCTGGAATCTTTTCTTACAAGTACCACATCTGTGGTCAGTGAAATCTGAAAAAGAATGCAAGTTTTTCTCAATAAAATGTAATTTTTCTTAATATTGGTACATTAAGGTAAATCACCTTACGATAAACATTATGTATGCTGAAGTTTGACTATTTAATATTATTACAAATATTTTTTCGGTTTCAAATTATTGGCATTCATTCCATTTAGTAAAGGGTAAAGTAACAGAAGATTTGCTTAATGGTTTTCAAATCTCGATTCTATCTATTTGATGAATTCTGTGTGTAATTTTCTATTAAAACAACTCAATGCAAATCAATTCGCACAGCTATTTACATTTATTCAATTATCAGGGGTTTTAACGTTTTCTGAAAAAGGTTGGGCTAAATCACCATTGACATAATGTTAAAAAATCTTCATTTCTCATTTACTCTTTTAAGGATCACAATCTTAACGTTAAATCACAATCCACATGTTAACAATATAATACAGTTACATGCCAATGGAGTTTTACATCAATCAAAATGGAAATATTTGATAAATCAAGAAATTAAGTGACTTTGCCAGTTGTCTCCATATCATGAATAGTATTCTAGCTCGACCAAAACCACTAGTGCCATCTATTACTCCATCTTCAGTATATAGCACACCCTCTATTGAAACAATGACGTGTCAAATAAGCAAACATGTTTTTTACCTGGATGTTTTTTCCTGAGGTGGGACCTAACGTAGTCCTTAGCAGCATAGGCTTTATTACAGGCAGGACACGGGAATGCCCTCTTGTCAATAAGATGAAGATCCCTGTGCTTGGTCAGGTTGTCAAGACGTTTAAATGCCTTAGAGCAGATGTCACACAGATGTGGACGTACTTCTATAAAGTCACCAAAGAGTATTGATTAGTACACAAAGCACATAAAAAAATGTGAAACATTTCATATAATTTTTTCTTGGCTTACATATACTTGTTATTTGAGAGATTTTGTGAACGCACCTTTGTGTGTAGACTGTATGTGTCTGCGAACACGATGAATTCCTTTGAAGGCCATGGAGCAAGACTTGCAGATGTATGGCTTGCTGGTCCAATGTGACTTGTTATGAGAGATGATAAGTGGCTCCTCTATGGCACTGAACTGACATGCTGAACACTCATATCTAAGATGAAACAATTCATTTAGGATATTATGGAAAATGTAAACAATCACCAGATTTTAATTGTTTGCCAAATTTTACTGAAAACAGATACACTTTTGTTTGGAGATATATTTTTATATTGAGATGAAAAGTACTTTTGTGTCACCCTGTATGATACCTACTGGTCATCATTTTCACGATACCTACTAGTCATCATTTTCACAGTCTTTTTGAAAAAAATCGGAATATTTTTTACCCTCAATCAAAATTAGAAAAAAATTATTTACTAGACCAAACTCACAACTTACTTTTGTTCAGACTGGTTAAAACTGTAGAATTTCTTGGCTTTGAACTGCTCAGTATCAATTACATAGCCTGGGTCGTAGTTTTCAACAGTTTCTCCTTTATCCTCATGTGACTTCATGTGGCAATTCAATAGAGTTCTCTTTACTGGTATCCTACATATGGGACACTTGTAGTAGACCTTTGCCACCTTGACCTGCTCTGCTTTCATCTTTTCTACCATTTTTGCCTTTTTTGACTTGGAACTGAAAGCATGGTGAACGTATATACAAACATACAATTTCAAAATGAAGCATTTTTTAAATTTCAAGGTGTATATTGTGGCATTGGGAGACGCAACTTTGGTAAAGGATGCAAGCATAGGTTCTGGGCCGATATAAAGATGGCAGCACCAGCAGTATTATCTTTTTCCCCAAAGAGAAACATAGATAAACACAGATCGATTGCCATGCCATCTTATTTAAAAATTATTTCTATCGACCTTAGCCTATGGATGCAGGCAAAGGATACAATGCATTGTTGATGATAAAATCCCACTAACATTTGTCCAGACCTTTGCATAAGTGCACAGGAGTCAAGTGCTATTTCTAAGATTCAATGCATGCATGGCATGCTAAGTGCCCATGGAAGGAGCTTTCAGTTAACATGACACTTGGGCGTTATAAATGAGGTAAGAAACTGATACTTTCATACCCTACTTACAACCAGAAACATGTGTTTCATTACCAGAGTTTTCAGTATTTTCTCTATGGTTCTCATAGATAATGAAATAAAACAGCAAATGAAAAACATAACAAAAATCATAATTACTTTTTGACAACAGTATCAATGGTCCTTTGAAGGTCTGTCTTGTTGATTGTTGAACTATCTGCCACATTGGATTGTTGTTGGTCTGTGGGTGTCATATTGATAACTATGCCTCCATCAGGTTGGTACACCAGGGTCACACCTGGTATGTTGACAAGAGACTCTAAACTTGGCCTAGTGAAGCCTGGCTCAACCTCTTTATCCTCAGTGACTCTAAACAAAAAGGGCATTTTAAGTTATTCTAAAGCAGAAAAATGGTATAATTCGGTGTCCAGAAGTGTGCTTAACAACATCATTTTCAACTTTAGTCTGCCATTTCATAATTTAATCATACTTTCGATTACATCGATAAAATAAGTCAAATTCATTAGATGTTCACAATGTGAAATTCATCACTGTTTAGTGACTTAATTCAAGAAAGATCTGAGTGCATGTATTTGGTTTACCTGTGCTCAAGTGCATCAATGAGTGCATCTATTGAGAGACCTTGCTGATCCAAATATTCCTGAGTTAAAGGTACACTTCCAATTGGTCCACCAGCATGCTGGGACATCAGACTCTCTCGCTCTATATTCACCACCCCTGGTGCAGTAGAAATAGGTGGTTGTGTAGAGATGTCCTGTTCAGCAATATGCTCTCCTGAGACTTGACTCGGTGTAGTTGAAGCAACATTACCATCAGTTTGTTTATTGATTACATTTTGAGCAGCATTTAGTGCCTCAATGTCCTTATTTGTATCATCATCTATGAGCATATTGAAAGGCTCGCATTCTTTCACATAGTCTTTAACTTTAGGTTTAGGGGGTTTTGGTTTCGGGGGTTTTGGGTTTAGCTTCTTTAGAGCTTGTACTTTTGCTCTTTCCAATTTCAGCTTTGCTGATTTAAGATTAGAATTTTTAGGATTTCTAAAATATTGGAACACTTGGAGATTATGGGCTTGATGAGGACCTTTAATGTAACAGATTTTTGTGTTAGGAATCTTCATAGCTTCATCATAACTCATAAAGTTTGTTGTTTGGTCCTTTGTTACTTTGACAACAACATCAACTGGGCCTTTCATCTCTTGTTTAAGAGATGGTAAGACGGATGTGTCTGTGTTGTTTAGATCTGGTCCTTGAGTCTCATGTTCACTTAACTCCTCAACCACGATGGGCTCATAATGTGAACTGTTTTCTTCTAACATCATGTCTCTGGCAATATCAACATCAGATTTAGATTTTTCATTAATGAGATCATAGTTGTGATCCATATCCATAGGGTTTGCATCCTCACTTTGTGATACAGCATCCTCTGTCTTGCATTTTTCCATCTGGAAGACTGTGCTTGATTGTTGCATCGAATTCTCTTCATATTGGTCTGTGATCTTTTCTTTTTCTTTTTTGATTTCTGCTTTTTAGATTTTAGGAATTCTGTGACACTGAATGGCTGAGTGACAACAAATTTTCCTTTGTTTTGTAGCTTAAATTTCAGAGATTTTGGTATACTTGGGATATCACTCTCAAGAACAGATGCTGTATAACCACAAGACCTTGGTTCAGTACTGTTCAGAGACTTAGGTTTCATACGGTGAGAATGAGAAGCCATTGCTTGACTGTATTTATCTTTAGAAAAGTTCCTATGATGTTTTTGTCTGTAGCTCTTTTTGGCAATTTCATTTGCAGTCTTAATCAGTGAGTCTTCTATAAGTTCCTTCAAACTTTCCTCAGTTCTGCCTTCTGTAAATGATTCTTCTGTGTCATTTTCCATGTAATCACTATCATCCACAGCAGTATTGTTATCTGATGAAAAGTTGTTTTTTGCCTCTGTGACAATTTCTTCTACAGACTTGCCCATTGGATCATTAATATCTGCTTGAAAGTCACCAATAATTTCATCTGACTCACTTTCACGATGATAAGCATTTGACATTTCAGTACTTCCATAATAAGAATTGTTTAAACCATTATCTGCAGCTTTGTTCTCAGCTTTAGACTGATCTGTGGTTGAGATATCAATATTGTCATTCATATTCAATTTACTTTCATTCAATACAACATTGGTTTTCTGCTGATTGTCTTTAACATCCACTTCCTCATTGTTTACACCCAATATGTTCTCCTTAACAGTATGCTGATCATCATGATTTGTTGTCTCATCATCTTCTTTGAGTATTTGGCTATTTTCTGGTTCTGCACTAGCATTAGGTAGTTCATAGTAAATGCCTCTATACAACCTAGGGCCATCTCGATGTTGAATTATATTAAAATCATCTGGCTTCCTTTTTAAGCCTATGGTCTTGTATTCGTCGATGGCATGATGTGTCCCAAAATATTGACATGTCCCACGATACTTCAACTGGACAAACACACTACATGTCTTTAGTAGGGCCAGCTCCTGGAACACTCCAAACATAACTTGGGTTCCTTCACTGTACATTTCATCATATACAGGAAGATCTAATGGTTCCTGAGGTTGATGAGGTTTTTTGTATTTATGGTACTTTTTAATAATTCTGGATTTTGCACTTGCTTTTGTTGATCTTGTTTTTCTGTCTTTTTGTTTTTGCTGTTGAATTAATTTAATTTTTTTCTGTTCTTGCATACGTTTATCTTGCCCTTTTTTCTTTAAAGCCTGTTCAGTATGATTAAAGGGTTGTTTCTGAAGTTCATTTTCAGTGTCAACGTCCATTAAATCATTATCATCTGATTCTACATCAGTATTGTCATTTGATTTGAGATTATCTTCTTTTGCATTTGTGGCAGTGTTTTCTATGCTCTTTTTAGTATTCTTTTTCCTTATTATTTTGGATTTGGCCCTTGATTTTACTGAGATTTCTTTTCTCCTTTCTTTCTGTTTCTGGTTATTGTTTGATTTCCCTTTTGTTTTTGCTGTTGATTTTCTTTTTCTTGACCCTTGTTTTAGTTCATTTTGAATCCTTTTACCTCCCATTTTCTTCCATTTCTGCACTAGTTTAATTTGGTCTTTTATCTTCGAAGCCTGTTTCTTTAGAAATTCTTCAGTGTGACTATAGGGTTGATGTTTCTTAAACTTCTTTCGCTTGGCCTTTTTTCCATTTGAAGCTGACTGTAGATTCTCTTCTGGTAGTTCTCTCTTTCTGGGTTTAATTTTGTCTCTGTCTCTCAATCTACTAACCTTGTCATTATCACATGTGGAAGTATTTGGAGATATAAGATTATCTTTAGCAGTTTTGTGATCAGATCCCTCTCCCTTTAGAAGTTTCTTCACATCGATCAACTTTCGTCTCGTCAGCATTATTCCTCACTGGAAGCAAAATGTAAGAATTATCTATTAAAGCACTGTTAGGGTGCCAATGTCAATATGTGCGCCTACTCATGGGCTTTCAATTATTCTAGTTGAAAGCCCATGGCCTAGTTAGGCACGCAGTTTGTTTCGATTACAAACTTTGCGCCAAATACAATGCCCTGTCTGGAAATTGAACCTAATATCTTCACATCCAAATCCTGATGATCTATTAGGCTAGAGCTACCTAAACTATTAACCTAGAGAATATATTCTGTAGTAGCAGCTTCCATCCACACTGTCAGTGTTTGGATAGGAAGCAAAAATATCAGTTAGGCCTCTTACCTGGTTATGCACAGCAATAAACCTAAATATGTATATGTATTACACGGATAGTGGGAAGTTCTCTCCTATTGTAGGCTAAACTATATACACTGTAATCCTCAATACAAATCAGAAAAATCCTGCTCACTGACTGGGATTTTGTGAAATGAATTTTAGAGCCCAAGAACTCACAGGGGAAACCACTACGCAATAAATAGTTCTTAGTGGTACAACTATTTTAAGCTTATTAATTGACACGATATTATAAAAAATGGGTTAAATGACACCTTACACGCGTTTCTCTTATTATTAGGTTATCTCTTCTGCGCGAAAGAGACTGTGAATATTAGTTAGGACTATGTTTCAGATTATATTCTTCCGCCATGTTTTAAAAATTGGTTTTGAAATTTGATCAACAAATGTCATAATTCCCCAACATCTCAGGTATGTATCGGATTAGTGTATTGTATTTACATGCACATTGTATTTGTGTATACATATATGTGATTATTATCGGGTAAAAATGTAAAATACGGCTTATAGCATTGATTAAAACGTATTATCGCCCACTTTCAATGTTATTAATATTTGATTTTGAGAAGTGAGAGTTAGACTGGGCATGTGACATTATCCACTAGACTACACAATAGACTGATGTCTTCTGTTTATTTCAAGAATATATAGAAGCTGTATTTATGGTGGTCACTATTCTGGTCTACATCATTCATACGTGTTAGATATTTATCCGACCATTATACATGTATTTACGATCATCTCATTTGTTTTCAGACTGCTCTGAAAAATGGCAGGAAAAGAACCAAGGGGAACTGGAACCCTCACTATAGAGACTGTCAAAGTATTTGCTGAATCTATTGGAATCGCAAGTCTCCCTGATAATGCCGCTCAGTTGCTTGCAAATGATGCCACCTATAGGCTGCAACAGCTAGCTCAAGAGGCAGCAAAGTTCATGCGACATGGGAAACGAAAAGCTATGAGTACTGTTGATTTTGATCATGCCCTGAAAGTCCAGAATGTCGAGCCTGTGTATGGCTTCAAAGCCAAAGATTACATTCCTCTACGTCATGCTAGTGGGGGAGGCAGAGAACTTCACTTCCAAGAGGAAAAGGAACTTGATTTACACGAAATTGTTAACTCGCAGGTTCCTAAAATCCCACTTGATGTTGTATTAAAGTCTCATTGGCTGTCGATTGATGGCATACAGCCCAGTGTGCCAGAGAATCCAGTTCCCGTACCGAAACACCAACAACAAGAAGAAAGTGTTGATCCAAAATCATCTCTCAAAATAACTAAACCTCGTATGTCAGCAGATCCAACAAAAACAAAGCATAAGTTGCATGGTCCAGAGATGGTAAAACTAAAGCCCGTTGCCATGCATGAGTTGTCAGTGGAGCAGCAGTTGTATTACAAAGAAATCACTGAAGCGTGTGTTGGTTCTGATGAAGCCCGAAGATCTGAGGCCCTGCAAAGTCTTGCAAGTGACCCTGGTCTGCATCAGATGCTTCCTAGGTTCACTACCTTTATAGCTGAGGGTGTGAAAGTCAATGTGGTTCAAAATAACCTTGCATTACTCATTTATCTCATGCGCATGGTGAAGTCATTAATGGACAATACTTCTATATACCTTGAGAAATACCTGCATGAAATGATACCTGCTTTAATGACTTGTATCGTATCGAAACAGTTATGTATGCGACCTGATGTTGACAATCACTGGGCATTACGTGACTTCGCCGCCAGACTGATGTCCCAGTTATGTAAGAACTATAGTAGTTTGACCAACAACATCCAAACTCGTGTAACACAAACATTTAGTAAGGCATTGTCAAGTGATAAAGCCCCACTTGCTACCCACTATGGAGCTATATCAGGCTTGGGGGAGATGGGCACAGAGGTGATAAAATCATTTCTCTTACCTTTGGTTAAGGCAGAAGGTGAGAGAATACAGAGCACAGCCGCAGCACCAACTCGGACAAATGTCGACAGAATATCTTCAGACCATGTGCGTAATATCTTACTCAAGGTGGTTGCCCCAGCTTTGAAACAAACACGTACACCACCTGATAACATAGATGACTATAAAGAAGAATTTGGTGCCTATATGGGGCAGCTTCTTCATGCCGCTGTAACTAAGGCAAGGCAGGTTCTTCCAGTGTCCTCAACTGGCCCACGTACTCCACAACCCCAGGCCCGTCCAAACTCCAGCGTTGTACTCAATGCACAAGGTATACAAGGGAGAGTGACCCAAACAACTCCAGGGCAGAAATTTGTTCTTGTGTCATCCAGGGCTGGTGCGAGTACTCCAACCTCAAGCCTCAGTTCAAGTATGAATCGCTCAGTTGTAAAGCTTGTTGGTGGAGAATCATCCACACCTATATCTGCCAAGCCAAAGATTGTTGTAGTGACCATGTCACAGGGTACTCCACCGGGCACTGCTCAGATACGTACTATTTCAGCCTCCCATGACCTTGGGGTCAGAAGTGTCTTCAGTGGGGATTATGTGAAACAAGAACAAGACTAATTCAATTTTAATTAATGAAATTTCAATTTTGCAAAGTGACCTACTTTTGTTAACATTTCTATGTTTATGCTTTATATGTATAGGGTGGGCCGAAAATTGCCCCCATAGATTAATCAAATAATTATAATTTAGGCACTTTCACTACAGCATACTGGTATGTACTATATACCCTTGGAAAGAAAATTTAATTTCCAATGATTTGACATATTATTCAGCAAGATTGTGTCACTAAAGCAATTTTCATATGAACTTTATGACATTGGTTATCATTTTTTCAGTTTCTGATATTTTACAATAGAAGTATAGAGATAGTATATATTCAAATCTATCATTTAGATAATCCAGATGTAACAAAATAAGTTTTTCCAAATGAAAAACAGATTTTCTAATAATCACCACAAAATAAACGTAAACCAGTATGAATAATATCAGTATCAGATACAGATTACCAGTCACTTTGTGAGGGTGTTTAGTAATTTGCAAATCTATGCCTGTTGTAGAAAAAGTTTTTAAAGAAGTGTTACATTGTCAATATAAGTTCATATACATGTATTGAATAATGAACATCATATCATTATATTGGAAATTGAATTTTCTTTCCAATGTTTTATCATATTATAGTAAATATAGTACATATATGTACTACTCAAAAATTGTAATAATTACTTCAAGATAATACTAGATGAAATGAATCCATACTTAAATAGATACAGTATATGCAATGTCTTTTTTTGGCCAATTAGAATTTAGTTTGAATGTGCATGGTCACAGAGTCTATGGATGCTATTGACTGTTGATTTTTGTGTGCCCTTGCAAATTGTTACTGTCAGATGGGCCATTGTATTTAGTAAATCAGTAGAACCATGTTGCTTGTACATGTGCTTTTTATGTAAGCCTTAATATTCAACCTTATCTTGTGTTAGGCTTGTATTTCAGAAATTCCTAAATCATGAAATAGAAAGGAATCATTTTAGAATTAGATAAGTAATAGAGTAATAACTTTGCAGATAACTTTGTGGAGATTGCCTTTTTACACATGTTTATAATAAAGAGAATATATGTAATTATACAGAATAGGCTATACATTTTGTTCCAATACTTGTATTACAGGGTATCTAAAAATACTACCCATAAATAAAAACGCCCAAACTTTCTAGATAGGCAAGTTTAATCTAATCAGTTTTGCCTAAGATATATCTGCAGGTTATCACGGTGTGGTTATGGACAAAACTATTGTTATCTGATTCAATAATATTTTCATTGAATCTTCATTGCGGTGTTGCGCCATAGAGAAGATATCAAGTATGAACGCAATCCAGAAATGACTTGCTTATGGAAGAATGGCAAAGCAATGTTAACGAAATTTCGAAATAAGCATTCTTGAAAACCTGGTGCATAAGCATGTACCCTATAAGAAACTCCCAAGGGGTTGCACTTTTAGATCACTCTGTAACCTCTCTGGTGGACAGTTGCCATTTCTCTAAATTATTCCCTGGAATGTTTTTTCTAAGAGCTCAGGCGGCCGGTCGCCAGTCGATGAATCGGGGCAAATGTGACCCAGGCATAATGCCGTGGTCACATTTGCCCCGATTTTTAATACGGTGCCCGGCCGATTGAGTATTTTGTTCAAAATTGTATGAACAAAATACTCATGGGCCGGGCGCCGGTGCTGGAAATCTGAGCAAATGTGACAACAGCATTACTGGGCTCAGTTGTTTCGTTACTCAGCCTTTTTTTGTATTTTCCCCATAGGCCTACTGCTTCTGTACCCCACGTTCTGTAATCAGTGTTTTTTGTGATCTTTGGTAATCATTTTTCTTTGTTATCATGGTATTTTTGGGGACAATCTTGTATTTGGATAATGCCGTGGTCACATATGCTCCAATTTTCAGCACCGGCGCCCGGCCGATTGAGTATTGTGTTCAAAATTGAATACAATTTTGAATACAATACTCAATCGGCCGGGCGCCGTAGTAAAAATCGGAGCAAATGTGACCACGGCATAAGAAATCACCCCCTGGTATGAGTGTGGACAATTTTTTGAAGCAATGATAAAATGTGTGGACTAAGCCCGGTGTGAAAGAAATTATGGTCCCCCAGGGATTATGGTCCCCTTTCTTAACGGCCCTTACTGGCCCCGATTGCGTTTAAGATAATGAGGGAAAGAGTTGTATTTAGGTCACCATATAAATCAATGGAGAGTAGGACCATAACTTGATAGGACATCCTAACCTTTTACACTGGGCTTTGTCCACACATTTTATCATTGCTTCAAAAAATTGTCCACACTCATACCAGGGGGTGAAATCAAGACCATTTTCACTAGGAAAGGAGTACACGGTTTTATACTGAGTATCGAGTTGTCAATCGAACGCGATGTATATATTTGGACCAATAGGCTACGGCCGCATGCTTCAACATGCTTAATTCACAATATTAGCTAATTTCTTTTATTAGCTACCATTATGTTGATACTTTCTTCAAATCTTTTGTAACAAATTCGATCGACTTCTTTGAAAATTGACCCAATTTATAATTTATTTATTTATTTTTTTGATCAAAACACTCAATCGGCTGACGCCGGCCGATGGATCGGAGCAAATGTGACCCAGGCATTAGCTAAACATCATAAATCATCATTCAAAATACTGTAGGAGGCGGGTCAACTGAGAAATGTAAGTTTTAGTTATGCTGTAGTTTTTTGTTATTTTGTAGTTTTATGTTATATGTGGTAGATCGTCTTGATGTTTTCAAGCTATTTTGGGTCAATGTGTACTCTCGACCATTTTGATGATATATGTTATTTTTCAAATATGGACTCATCCTTTCCTGCATTATTCACACATTTCAGCTTTTCACAGAATGCATTGTAACTGGCTGTAAATTCTAAGTTAGCGATCCAGAAGATGTGAACTAATACATTGATCACATTGCACTTCATGTGTGTTTTGGAATTTTTGGTGAGGAAGTAAGACCAAAACTCGCAATTCAAATTGTGAAGTTGAAAAATGACGAACATTTGATTTCAAATTTTATGATTACGACATGACCCGTTATACATGCAGGAATTTATCTTTGGAATAACATTGAACACCAACTAAGGACAATTTGTAGTTTCTAGCATGTTTTCTTTCAGATGAATATAGCTTACAAAAATTCTCTTCGTACAGATCTGCCTTAGAGCCATTTAATTTCTGAACATACGGAACTACCTTAAAAACTACCTTAAGAACCTTAAGAAATGTTAATGGTTTCTTCATTGAGGTTCCATGTTATTTCCAGGTCTATACAGTGTGTCTCAAAAAAATGTTACACTTACAAAAAGTTCAATATCTTTCATGATTTTGACTTTTTCCCTTAAATATACTTAGATACCAAAAGACCAGTTTTTTCTCAAATAAATACACACCATCAGATTCAAAATCCGTCCATGATTGGCTGCACAGGACAGATTTTATAGGCGCATGTGAAATCTGATTTGCGCCAACTTCTCAGTGGTTGGATATGTGGTGATCAATTCTTTTTTGGTGTGGATGCTGTGGACAGTGATATCTTGATATGATCAATGGTCCAGTTGTTTCTTTCCTGGATAGAAATACAAGATTTCATTGTCAGAGTGTTCAATATTGTTATGATGGCAACAGGATGGTGCAAAGGCCTTTGGCAGATTGTTTGGTAGAACTCTTTGGAAATCAGACGATAGCATTGAATTACAAAATGGATTGGCCCACAGGGTCATCCCACTTAACACCCTTGATTTTTTGAAGGGCCTCTGAAAGCGCTTTACAGCATCGCAAACTGACCTAAATGAACTTCTGTAAAAGCAATTGATGGAATCAGTGTGATATTACAATGCATGTGCGCATGAGCAAGGGTACTTCGAATTCAGATTTGCTTTGGAGAACATGTTGAGGGGACCACATGTTTATGTGGATAGACCCAATGATCATATGTAAGACAAATGGGAAAATTACAGAATGACTCAATTAAAGGTCAAGCTTCTACTCAGAAAAAGGTTAAATGTTAAAGAAACTGTTCCTCTTTTGTCATTTGGTCCATCCAATCACTTAGAAGTTGGCGCAAGTTAGATTTGACCATGGGACACTAAAAGCTGTCCGGAGGAGCCAATCAAGGACAGATTTTGAATCTGATGGTGTCAAATTATTTGAGAAAGATTTGTCTTTTGGTATCCAAAGTACATTTTAGGGGAAAAGTCAAAATTATGAAAGATATTGAACTTTTTGTAAGTGTAACATTTTTTGAGACACACTGTATATCTCATTCCATACATGAATTCAGTAACCTAAATTTTGTATTTTTAAAAAGTAGGTCACTACATTGTAGGAAATCATTAACTCGCAGTTAGTAAATTATCTACGCCCATTTACGTACTCTGTGCAAGACGTTGTTGACCGTGTCTGGAATTTATGAATGCAATGTGGATTTTGTTTCTTGGTTTTATAAACTCATAAACATTTTGATTTAATTTTAATCTTGTTTTCATAGCAATCTATAGTTTGAGATCCTGTTATATTCTAACTTGAGGATTGTTGATTGAAAGCAAGGATGGTCACGACCAGGACATACAGAAGAGTGACCGTTGAATATATCCAGGTAAAACTTTTTGCTAAATGCTATCATCGTGAGATATCACAGCCTTCTCTCAGTTTCCTTCTTGAACATTCTTGTGCATTGCAGAGATGGTCTGAGTATCAGAATGGCTATAGATCTATATTAGGACATTAAAATGGACGCAGTTTCTTTTATCAAATTTCTTGAAACTAATTTTGCCAACAAGCTCAACAATCTAAATGTATTTCCAGTTCATATCAATTTTTGTCAAACATACTTCGAGAATGATGCTCTTTATACAAAGTTATAGCCTTGCCCAAGTCGGTCTCTTTTTCTTATCTTGATTTCTATTATGACTGGCGGTAATAATTCAAGATCAGATTAGTAAAAAAATACTGACTTGGGCAAGGCTAACAAAGTTAAGGTAGCCTAATATGCACATGCCTTGATACTCTAAATTTAACATCGTGGTAAGCCACGCCCACGCCCTCTCCATCTCTATCCTTCTGGAGATGCGATGCAACAGAGAGAGAGATGCTATGAGTATCAGAATGGGAACAAGATATTTTAAGTGGCATGTGAAGTACAAATGTTGGCCTATTGTTAAAAAAATCAAAATGTCATCCTTTGTTTCAGTTTCTGATGCTGTATGCGACTATGTTATCAACTTGTTCCTGCGTTCACTTAGCAAGTGAAAATAGTGAGTTCATTTTATATTTACAATGTAGTTGCAGTGGCGTAGCGTGGGTATTTCATGATTGTACGCCACGAGTGAGCGAAGCGAACGAGCGTTGAGGAGAGAACCAAGAAAATTTGAAGATTAGATTGCATTTGAAGTGTTCTTGGTGGTTTTAAAATACGAAATTCCGACTGATATTGACAAATAAATCATAAATTATTGTATTGTTGTATTGTATCGTAGGCGTATATGATGCTACGCCAATGACAAGGGTAAATGAAGGACCATATTTGTCCCAGAGTTCAAATATACATTAAAGAAGCCAAGTGTCGGGTAATAGGATGTAAAGATATAACGGAGGTCTTATTACAATAGTTTAATAGGTTATTCAATAGTTCCTTCATTAACAGGGGGCAATCTTGTCATTTCAAAACAGGAAGCTCAAATGACCGAATTTTCCATAAATTTTCCACTTTTTAATCATAAAATCCTCCACTAAACACTTGAAATAATTTGTAATGAAGCTCGAAATCACGCCCCTTTGTTTTTCTCGAGATATTGTTTTTTAATTAAATTAATATATACAAGTTAACCAATTTGCGATGGAACACTATAAATAAGACAAGTTCGTAATACCCCGTAAACTGCAAAGGTTCACGCTTTAAAATTTCAAATTGTATGCTACCTAGGACAAACGTTGCCATTTATTTTTCTTTGAAGGAACTTACTTTGTAGTTCAACCCAAACCGTTTATGTAACTGAAGTGAAGAATTAAATCGACGATTTTGTTGTCTTCTGAGCTAATTTTTTGCAGACATGTACATTTTCTAAAACTTATGATACTGATACACGTTTGTGAGAAAATGTCGTGAGGATTCTGCTTACAACGCGTGAAATAAAGAAAAACGAAAAATCATACCTTCGACTTTCCGACATTTTGTTACCGAAACGCCAGCGTAATCGAAGGATCACTAGTAGTAGACTAAGACTATTATTTGTTTAATTTATTATATCATTGTTAGATTTGCATTTCAAAGAAAATGAAATATTTGTTTTAAACTTAACTTTTATTTTTAATCTATGAATGCATTAATACATTGGCATGATTATGTTATTATATTGTATAGTATACCTAATTAGTAAATAGGTTTAAGCAAATATATTTTACCGATATGAGTCTATGTATATAGTTTTACCAAGATGAGCCTGGAATACACCTATGTATTTATATTTACAATGAGATTTGGTTTGATAAATGATAGGTGGACAATATCATATTGTAGCTAAAGGGTAATAGGTAAAGTGTAGGTTAACTGACGGCGTCAACGCGGTAGCCTGGCGTCCGTCAACAGCAAATATTAGGTGGAGAACTTGTTTTTCTTATATTATGTAACAGATAGTAGTAACTTGACGGCGTCAACGCGGTAGCCTGACGTCCGTCAACATCAGTGATTGGTTGTAAATAAACATTTTAATTGTTTTTATTATTGTATGTGTCTTTTATATGTATTGTAATAATTAATTATTATTATCTCCAAAAATGGAGGCGAAATAAATATAATAATAATAAAGTAGACCTGAATCCTGGTGCCATGGCTTTTATTATTCCAAGCCGGAAACTCTAAAGCCGTGTGATATTTTCAGTTCTATGCACAAACAGTCACGTAGAGATTGACGTCACACGTTTGTTCTCCGAGATAAACCGAACTCAACCGCTAATATGTATAATGGGTCATTCGGGCACATCTAATGGTACTTGTGTGAGTCGCCAAGGGGATCTTAATGTGCCCATAGGTGATTGTGGCATTCAGTTGGTAAATATGAATTAGATAAATCTCTTGGTACAGTGATTTTTTCAATTTTCAAACGACTCTTTGAATGGGCCTTACAGTATGTATCAAGTGTATCAGATATTTTAGAGCTGCCAAAAAGTTAAGGATTTACTACGTCCAATAAGCGTTCGTGTGGTGTAGCTGTGTTTATTTTCCCAACGAAATTCGGAGAAGCCGTCTGTCCACCCGCCAGTTCGTCTGTGTTGATGGATTGGCCGGTTGTCGGATTTGATTCAAATATTAGGGAGTATAAGCTTGCATGTAAGATAAAACCCCAACCAATACGTATGATCAATCGCATATACAAATGCATCGTTTAAATAGCTTAAGGAGCTTTGCTCAAGAAGAGGCTTTCAAGATGATCACTGAATTTCAAAATGCTTATAATTGCAAATACCAAATACACTCAAATGCCAGTGGACGGATTTGGTTCAAATTTTATATGCTGATGCTTAGAGACGACAAAGAACGATATTTTGAAGATGGCCACACTATTTCAAAATTGCTGTCATTTTTTGTAAAAACGTAATCTTTCATAACTCTTTAATACCAGTGGATAGGTTTGATTCAAATTGTATATGCTGATGCCTATAAACAATTGATCTCTGCCTGAGAAGAAGTTTTCAACGTGGCAGCTAAATTTAAGGATGGCCGCTATTTTTGTAAAAATCATAATCTTTGATAATTTAAATACCAATGGACGTATTTTGTTCAAATTTTATATGCTGATGTCTAGGGAGTCTGACAAATGGGTTCTGGCTCGGAGCAGCTGAATTCCAAAATATGCTACTAAGTAGGCACATCTAAAATTTCAACAAAATCGGACACACATACATGTAAATGGCACTGGGCCCAATTTTGGGTAAGGGTCCCAAAATTTTCTGCGCAAGCGCGAAAATCTTTTTCCTGATTCAAAATTTGGCCCCCTTGTTAGTCTCTAGATCCGCCAATGACACCTGTCTACTTATGAGACTGTTTTGCAATGAAATGGGCATGTTTGTTGTATTTCTAGAATAAAACTTTCCATGTACAAATTATGGAAGACGAGGATATTGAATCGGTTGATGCCGGAACAGAGATTTACAAAGTGACATGTCTCAACTGGTATTTAAATGTTGAGAAACCAGGCGGACACGAGTACAAACTGGAAGCGAAAATTGAACACGTCACAGGGTATACGCACATATGATTCTCTCATGCTTTCTCATGCTTTCGATGGTAATGGGAATCGTAATAAAGAAATACAAACGATTGGCCAATTTACGACAAGTTGTCATTTTATCTACAACTTTCTTGATTTTAGTAAACGTAGAACTCTATTTTAGGATGTTTGTTGATCAGGACTACATGATAAATGTTCAGAAAAAAGAACCAACACCATATATGCAGATCATGGATGGTGATAATAATATAGTGAACGAGCAAGAAGTCGAAATCAACACCAATCTTAGTCTAGTTATTGGTATTGAGGAAGACACAATGTATGCGTCGTTGGAGATCGTTGTAAGGCATTGCTATGTCATCGGCAATGGGAAGATTGTGATTATTACGGATAACGGGTAAGTGCAAGAACTCGTAGACTTCTGAGATTTCGGAACAACATAAAACATGTTACAAAAATACATGTACTGAGCTGTTAACATGTATCGCTCTAGGTATATAAATCTGTTGCTACAAGTAGGTCAAAAATTCAAATTAACGGTCGAAATTAGTACCGCGTGATACTGTTGATACGTGAAAAATTGATATCACACAAGAAATATGATTTCTGAAATATTTTATCACCGTATCCCTGGGCACCATGGTTGTCCAACACTTAAGTTTGTAAGTACCCCGTCGTAGCTATTTTGTTCGCCGTACTTATAAAAACAGTACCATGGCTTTCGTTTTTATCTGGCTTGATGGATATTTACGGTATAAGTAGAACAGATTAAAGTAACATTGAATTGAAATAGTATTCTTAAAATTTTCATTTGGCTTTATTTATTCATCTCAGGTTGGAAAATTCATAATCTTACTCGCCTACCAGTTTGATTTTCGGTGAAAACTTCATACCTCGGCGGTCAAATCTCAAATTTGAGGTCAGATGTGAACTACTGAGAACTTGTACATAATTTTAGAAAAAAACGTTTGGTCAATTTGAAGCAAGTTGAAATCAGTTATGGAAAAAATACTGTAATACTTCTATTCGTGATAAGAGTTCAGGTGGTAATTTACATAAATATCTCCCATGATGCATCGCTTTGGAAGGGACAAATTTTCATTGGCCCGCCGAACGAGTCTATACTCTAACCGTTTCTCAGCTTCTGATCTTCCTGGGCGTCGGCAAATGTGACTAAGGCATAACTAGGGGCAGAGCACGGTCATAATTAAATAAAATATCTTCTAAACTTCCATGCCCTTTACTTATAGGTGTGCTACTAAACCAAATATTTTCAAAAATTTTGTCACTGGCACCGGGGATGATTCTGGAAAGAAGATGAGCTATTTCAGGGCGTTTAGGGTGCGCAGTGATAATCCTGTCGCAAACGATTCTCCTACGGTTACCTTCTTATGCACCTTTCAAATATGCAGAAAAACGGACAATAGTAGCACATGTATTCAGGTAAAAACTCAATCATTAGCACTCTTTATTAGAATTCATAAATCTGTCTGTGTATCACAAAAAACCATATGTGTATCAACTGTAAGCAAAAAGTTAAGCGATGTCTGAACGGATGAACGAACTTCATATTATCCTTTAGTTGCGATACTAAACGAATCCGTCTGGCTACAAGTCCGCATGTGAAGATTAGTTATAATTCACTTTGGTAACACAAAAACCCAAGTAGGTAAATGCAACTATCACTGTTCATCTCCACAGCTAGAAATGTTTAGTGAATAAAGCAATGTTCCAAGACTGATTCAACTTGTACCTCCAGCCAGCTTGCAATAACGGTCGACGTAAGCGTGAGAATAAATCGCCAGAAGAAGCCTTGACAAAAGAGGGGCACAGAGAAATTATGCAATACATCAAGGTCATTGATCCATTGCCAACCACTAACGGTGAGTATAACCAATCTCGAGTAAACAAATATCTAACAAAATACAGCAAAATGATGTGATTTGGGAATTTTGTTCGAGTCCAAGTAATGCTCGATGCTCATTTTTAGAAGCGATGGAGGATAATAATCAGCCAATCAAATTTTTGAAATTTGCTCATGAGTTTTAAATGATAGCAGAAACTCAGTCATTATCAAACCGTTTGCTGCAGACCCCTTCGATCCACAGAAAAGTGACGATTGGCAAGTACCAATTTCAAAAATCAAAAGCGAATTGACAGCGTTCCAGAAGGATTTGTATAAAATCAAAGTGTAGTTTCAATTGAAAAAATTCATTTTTGCAGTGAACCTAAATTCGTCATACATATTCGTGTGGGTAATGGACTGAATTAGTTTATACAGGGTGGCCGGAAAAAGGAGACCCAAAATATGTTGAATAACATCGTTGATAATGATGATTCTGTTTTTTATTTTTCTGCTGGTGAATATAGCTGATTCAACCAAATCAAAACCACAAGTGTAGTTATATTTACTCAGGCAATTCAGATGACATGAGAAAATGTGTCCTACAAGTGGGATTCAAAGTCTAGGACCCATGAGACACCTGGCAAACTCAACAGAAAAGATGCAGATTGTGAAACGTATTTACGTCGAAAGATATCTCAAAAAACTGCAGACATGGTCAACCGAATGTGTGTCTCTTCAATGGCGCTAATCAAGGAGGATTGGCTCCCATAGTGCAACATCAATATTCTGTCCCATATATGGGCATGTCGTGATACAAAATTCGAATTCAAGCAGCCGCCATTTTGTTCACTTCAACATTTGAATTATGAAGTTTGGTCTTATTTCCAAATTTCCATGTCGTGATACAAAATAATTCAAGCAGCCGCCATTTTGTTCACTTCAACATTTGAATCAAGAATTTTGGTCTTATTTCCAAATAAAAAATCCTAAACTCACAAGAAATGATTTTGAACTGTTTATTTTGAATTTATTGTCGGTTTTAATTTCAGAAAATAATATAACGACATTTCGACGTTTTCTTTGTTGGAAAATATCGAGTTTCGATCCTAGGAGCCAATTCTCCTTGGGCGCTACTGAAATACAGTATCATCCTCATGAAGTTTTTGCAGACCTTGGTCACTGTTAGATACAATGTATTTGATTGTGCCATATAATGGTTAAACAAAATGTCACTTGTCTATTTTAGGAAATATTGCTCATTTCAATGCTGAAATGGTCTCCTTTTCCGGCCACCCTGTATATATACATAGGACTATCCGAGATATATCCAAAAAGATTTAGAATAGTCATATCCTCCTACATATCATTGAATTTATGGAATTCGCCACCAGATTTAAACTCTTTTTTATCTTCAGATGAATCCAATGTGAATACTTGCACCTGTATGAGCTCATCAAACTTTGTGATAGCCTTGGTTGTGCTTTGTTCTTTACTAGGACTATCAATAATTATCGCAATAATTCTAGCGTCAAAGGTAAGTATGTATATCATATTTAAACCTGTCAACAATTAGCGGATCGCCGATGAAAAACAAGTGAATAAAAACAGTACAATTGGGTCACCCGCTAAGGAAAAAGAAGGTTGATCCTAAAATTGAAAATCGCGGTGTTGGAAATATATTAAATTAAGGGACAAATAAACAACAATCGAAAACAATGAAAACTATGAAAAAATCTAACTATTTTCATAGACTTTCAAGAGAAGGGTACGCAACTCCACATTATTCATAAAATGAGAATTGCCTTGGGATTTCAAAAAAAGTGAAGTATGCCAATGCCCATTTCGAAGTTCTCGTGTCTATAACACAAAATGGCATATCCTTGCCCATGTTATCTTTTTAATATGGGCATAAAGCTAGAGCCGGGTTTCATGAGAAACTAAAAATGAATGAGAACGTTTGTAGCTCATAATATCCCTTACAAATTAATGTTTATATATATTCTATAGTAGATAATTGTTTGACGCATTATAAATCAAATAAAATGCTCTTCAAGAAGGAAATAAATATACAAATTACAATTAGTATTTAACGCATTATAAATCAAATCAAATAAAGGGCTCTTCAAGAAGGAAATAAACAAACAAAATATATGGCAGAAAAACAAAAATACTGCATTTTCCAGATTGCATTTCAGTTAAACTGGAATTTGAACATTTCCCCCGGGTTGTTCACTCCAATATACTTCTTTAAATGAAATTAAGATGAGAAAGAAAACGTTCTTTTGAAATGAGTTATAATCTTTTTTACACTTGATTTATAATAGGGAGATAACAGAGTTCAATTTTGAAATTAGCATTGAATGTCAACCCATGTTGTTGAATTTGTAGAACTTTTATGGTGTTGACCAACTTTCTGGAGTCTGGACACCATCTCAAAACTGAGTTTATATACTAGTATTCGGAATTCTGAGAAAAGTTCACACCGATCTGATACCCATATCGTACTCTGCATTCGTTCGACTTTGCTTCTCAAAATAGTGTTTCGTCTATAAGTAGACTCTTCGCGCAGGGTACCCATACCGTTGACCTTTGAGAACTTATTGTTAATCTACCTTCGGAGCACTATATCTCAAACTCGATAATAGTAATTTAAAAAAATGATACAATCTCATTTGCTGATACGTCGAAGATTCCAATTTTCCACCAACTTGGTAAGGAGTACCCATAATACTACAGATTGTCCATAAAAGAAATATACCCAACTCCAAGACAAGATTACTAGAATCCTGAGCAAAATTTCGGATATACAAAGGTAGCAGTGAACAGCTTACTGTGTCCTCCATCAAAATGTGCTTAAATCATAATATAACTAACTATCACTAAAACTTTTCGTAAGAGAGTTACTCAGCCCCATCTTCGCACGCTCGGTCTTCACTGTGTTCACCGATGGGAGCCGAGTGAACGAAGATGACTCAGCCCCAAGTCCAGTCCATTATGAAACCCTGTCCTCTAACTTTATGTAACAGCAAAAGCTAAAAATATCAAACCAAATTACACAAAGTGCTAATTTTACCACCTTTCATAATGGTCATAATTGCCGAGTCATGTATGACTGAGTTACATCATGATCTAGGCACCATTTGATGGAGGATAAACTGGGCTTTAATACTATTGTTCATAAATAAAACACTTGGTGCTCATCAATACACAGGGAGATATGCCGAGTACTAAAATAGTACTCATGGATTTTAGCGCTAATTGAGTACTCGTTTCAGTAAATATTAGTACTAAACGAGCACTTATGGCATGGGTATAGATTTATTGCATGTTTTGGCACTAAATGAGTACTCATATGAGTGATAGAATAGCGCTAATTTCATTGATTTTTCATTACTCAATGAGCACTCATACTATGAGCACTAATTTTAAGTGCATGTTTTAGTACAAAATGAGTACACATATCATGAGTGATGAAATATATGAGTAACAACAGGGATGGTACAAAACAAGTCAAGACAAAAAATTGAAAGAAACATGCGAACTAGCCTACTGTTATAGTGCTCATTCTTCAGTAAATGAACAATATTAATATTTTAGTACTAAATGAGCAATTTTTTAGTACTAAAATAGCACTCAAGTAGTACTAAATCATTTAAAATTTCGTTACTAAAACGGTACTAAAATAAACCCTTATTTTTCACAAACTTATTACCAAAATAGCACTCAAGTAGTAATAGATTAGCACTCTGGCAAAAGTGCGCTCATGAGCACTCAGGCCATGAGTGCTAATTTAGCACTAATTTTGTACTAATTTTGTACTAACTTTGTACTAATTGAGGAATCGGCATATCCCCCGTGTACTGGCTACCGAGATACATCATCAGTTGTCTCCCTTCCTCGGATTTCGGGGGCTATGCAATGGGACTTTGCCCATGCTCCGACTATATCCGATTATCATTTGGAAGGTGCCCCCAGCAGAGGTTAAACCTCCACCAGTATCTGTAACGGTTGCCATAGATGGTATTTGCCTACTGTAAAGATACTGGTATTAGAATAACTCCTCGTTGGTGCTTTGTCAGTCGGTAGATGTTTTTTCTCAGCATTGAATACTGTTCTGTTCTGCATGCAGGAGATCCGTAGCGTGAGGGTCAGAGGCTCAGTGGGGTTAATCCTGGCCGAGTCCCTCTGCTACTGCTACTTCTCGAAAAGAAATCTGTATTACAGACCCAAAGGTATCTATGTATTTCAGAAATATTACTCAGGAATCTAGTAATCTGCCTTCGAAGTTGGGTATACTTTTATGGACACCCTGTACAATAATGATACTGACAAAAGGAAAAGACTCAATCTGGAGTCTAATAATAAAAATCACCGAGTACACACGTGGAGTAATGAAACCAAAAATAAACGATCGCATGATTAGAAGCTGAAGTCAGCAAGTGTGTACTTATATGAAGAATCTATTGAAAGTATTGTTTGTAATAATGCAATTATTCCAACGAACCAGAAGAACAGTATGTACCAGTAAAGTTCTCCCGTTTTTCGCCAACATTTCAGTCATAATGTTCATATTCCTCAAAGCAATACTACTTCTGGTTTCAAAATGGCGAACATTTACATTTCTGAGTATTTTTTAGAAATACCAAAAGAGGAGGGAAAACCCCATGATTCAATTGATGACATACGATTTCCTCCTTCGCGCACCTCCTTTCCCGGAAGTACTTACCCTGCGTCTTGGTTTTCAAAGTTTTCAAATTGACCTAGTTTTAAAGCAATCAACGATCGACTCGCTAAACCAATCAGCGACGATGTCATCTCAATACAGATTTACATTATAAGCGTATGTCATCTTTGAACCCTGGGGTTTCTCCCCCTCTTAAATACCAACAATGCCCGATAAGGGAAACATATTTTCGATGAGATTTCCATTTTCACGTTAATGCTTCAATTCGGAAAATGTTCTTCTTCATTTCAAATTTTCGAATAAATTTCAGCTAATTGAAACTGGCCGTCGGAAACCTAACCCGAAGGTGATTTTTAATACACAAAGTAGTCGTGGTCCTGCTAGCGAGAGTCTTGATAGAAGCAGTCCTGGAAGCCGAAGTCCTGAACCAGCTTGCTCCAAAGCTTTTTCAATACCACGTCCAGTTTTGTAGTGATGAAAAACATTCAACTTTTGGTATTGGCGTTTTTACTTTAATCAAATTACCCTCTTCTGGAACATGTGGAAGGTCTTCTATATGTATATCATGAAGTCAGATATGTACAGCACAGTGACTAATGGAAGCTTAATACAATTGGACTATAGTTGCTTCTTTGATTGTTATTTTTTGTCTATATATATATTTTGAATAAAAAATAAATCTATGTGTTACGCATTACTTGTTATTTCAACCAAGAGTTCGAATGGGATAAAACAAGGTCGGACGGGATACTTAGAGTTCGAGTGAACGTTCGGATGTTATACTGAGAATTTGCATGGAAAACTGAGTTAGATCAATGTATGGCATAAAATAGTCTAATAAAAAAATAATTCTATTAAAAATCACGAAATATCCGAGGGAAATGATAATATTATGATTATGACTCGGGCTATCACCCTCTGTCAATATCCGATTTTCCTTGGACTATAGGGAGTTTAAGATTAGCGTAAATAACCCATTTACCTATACCTATACGTAGTTTGTTATTACACTAAGCGGTATTTTACCTAAGTTACAGGGTTTACGATACGTAATTACCTATAAATGGCCGAAGATAGGTAATTCGAAAACGTATGTTTTTATCCAAAAAGTTATGTCATTTCTAGATCAAATATCATCCATTCAACTTTAAAATAGTAACAACAAACATTTCTCATTCGATCTGCATAGAAATTAAGTGGTCGGACACATTCATTGATGCGATAAACGATGCCATGTGATGATGCATGAAATTGTTGAATTTACACATTCTTCATCAGTTTTGCTTATTGTAAATGTATGAAATCAGCCATTTTCTCGTGGTTTTAATTGTTTAACTCTACTATTTGGTCACTCTCATTGCTGGATCATGCAAGAAATTTAACATTTCGCCTTAAGTCACTGCCCCATTAGCGGGCCCACAAGCAACACCCCCTCCCAACTACAGTAGCTACAGCACACTCTCTCTGAAGTATATAACAGTTCTTGGAGGTGACATGTACTGGTATATGCCATATAAGCCATCGCATGGTTTTCATTCTATGATTAGGATGTTAATTTTATGATAAATTGTAGCATACGGTTTCGTAGCCTTTTACGTTAATCTTAAACTCATTTTGCAATACGCATTACCTATACGTATCCGTAACAAACATACGGATAGGGATAGGTACACGTTTATTTTTACGCTAATCTTAACCTCCCTAATATCATAATTTCCATCGGAATAAAATTCATATTCCCTCCCTTCCATTAAATAATCTCTACATTTGATTTATTAAAATCATATAAACATATCAGTGATAATGACACCCTAGTGGGTGTATGTCTTATCACAAGCTAAATATTTAGA